GCTAATATGTCTTCCACAAAAGCCACTATCACCTCTTCATCCAGGCTTCAGCACTATTCCAATTTTAATTTTTACATTTGGCCTTCCCACAGTTTTAACTGTATGTTGTCTTATTGTTAATAATATATGTTTATTGTTCATGTTTTATTTTAACTGCGTGTATTGTTGTGATTATTGCCTGTATTGTTGTGTTTGGGCTCGGCCTCATGTAAGCCGCACCGAGTCCCTTGGGGAGATGGTAGCGGGGGACAAATAAAGTGTTGTTATTATTATTATTATTATTATTATTATTATTATTATTATTATTATTATTATTGTGGTGTCCAGAATTGGACACAGTATTCCAGGTGTGGTCTGACCAAGGCAGAATAGAGGGGTAGCATGACTTCCCTGGATCTGGACACTATCCTCCTATTTATGCAGGCCAAAATCCCAGTGGCTTTTTAAGCTGCTACATCACATTTTTGGCTCATGTTTAATTTGTCCACAAGCCAGGTGTCCTCTATTCTGTATCTTTGTGTTTTATTTTTTTCTACCTAAGTGGAGTATCTTGCATTTGTCCCTGTTGAACTTCATTTTGTTAGTTTAGGCCCATCTCTCTAATCTGTTAAGATAATTTTGAATTCTGTTCCTGTCTTCTGGAGTATTAGATATCCCTTCCAATTTGGTGTTGTCTGCAAACTTGATGATCCTGCCTTCCAATCCATCTAAGTCATGAATAAAGATGTTGAACAGAACTGGGACCAGGACGGAGAAAGGGAAAGCAAAGCAAGCATGCAGGAAGTAAGGGAGAAAGGGAAGAAAGAGGCAGAGACAATTTTTATTTTTGAAATTTACTAGTAGCTGCGGCATCTCCCACCCTCAGCTTATACTTGAGTCAATAAGTTTTCTCAGTTTTATGTGGTAAAATGGTAATATGAAATATATATGGTAATTTGAAAAGAAAGTGGAACAAGGGAAAACGTGTGATGGGGGTAGGGAAATCGTTCATTTTCAAATGGGGCATTGCAACACTGAAGGGAAAAACAACAGGCCCCAATACTTTACTTATCATGTATTAAGTCCTAGGTCTCTTCTGAAAATCAACCTAGCCATTTCTAAAGCTGGTCTTCGGAAAATATGGGAGTGCCTAGTTGCAAATAATTAGCTACATGTAATGTATTTCTTTTTCCAGTAATGAAGATAGAATTAAATTACACTTACAATAACTTAACAAAGGCTAAATTCACTAGTTTCTGGGTTTAACTGAAAGTTCATGTTATTTTTGCATGTGCAATGGCTTCACTCTTTCCATGTACCAAGGGGGAACTCTAGTATTCTCCCTATCTTTCTTTCAGCTCCAATCTTGAGGAGCAACATATTCTAAATAAAAATCACTTTAAAAATGGTGGAGGGGGAATATATGATCCAAAATCTGATTCATGCTGTCCTTCTGCCTTGTGGTGAGTGTTATTTAGGCAACAGCAAATGAAATGGGGGAGAGAATGTGCTTTGAAGCATTCACATTTCTTCAGGTAATTAAAAGTACCTATTTAGCTATTTTTGTGAAATGAGGAGGTAACGTTTAAAAATTAGAAACACAACAATAGCTAACTATAATTTTGCCCTTGGAATTCTACCTCTTAGATAATTGTGCTACAAAATAATTTCCAAGATATGGATTGAGTCGCCGTCCTAGGCTGATAAATGCGGTATACAAATGGAGTAAATAAATAAATAAATAATGGATTTAATTATACTTTTCAGCCTGGAACATACAGATTGGTGGACAAAGGTGACTAATATCTCTGGGTTGTCATGGACAGATCGTTTTCTAATCAGGACTAGTATCACAGCTACAACCTACCCTGTAGGGATAGAGGACCTATTGAAATGGTCCAGTTTTAAGGCGAATAAAGATTCCAGGAGGTCTTATGATTACATCACATTAGAGTTCTAATGCGTAGGCCCATGTTTCCCTATCACCTGGTTTGCTCCTGCAGAATTCTGGGAAATGTAGTTTAGGGAAGCCAAGGACCTTTCTGGCTGAGAATTCCAAAGGCTCCACTACACTACATTTTCTAAAAGTCTGCAGAAGCAAAATGGACAGGAGAATGTGTACCTGTGCTTTAGAACTGTGATTACATTTTAATTTCAAGTATTGACCAGGGTGTCAACAGGATCATCAATAATACCAGTCATAGAACAATCTGATAATTATATCACATTAGATACTGTTATTAGAGTGATCTTTGGCTGGTATTACCAATGATCCTGTTGAACTCCTGGTCAATAATTGGAATTAAAATGTAACCAGGGCTATTAACACAATTGCCTCTAAATGTCCTCTCCAGCCTATTACTAACCAAGCTCCTTGGTATACCTTCATGAAGCAGAAACAGAAAATATAAAGACTAGAGCACAAATGGTGGAAAACTCAACTTCTCTGCAACAAGACATGCTATGGAGAACATCTCTGTTCCTATAAGGTGGCAGCACATGCAGCCAAAAAAAAAAGCTTTCTTCTCTGTGAATGTTGCATCTCATATTAGCTGAGCTAATTAGGATGGTGAGAGGTCTAACCTTGATACCCTCCTCTCTGAACTTGCTATTAAAATCTGCATTGGTTCACTGAGATGCCTTCAGTGACCATTTTGCTGGTAAAATGTCCTGCACAAAAGCCAACTTAATATGCAGTTATTGGAGCAGTAGTCAATAATGGGAGCACCTAGGAACTTCCTGAGTCATATTACACGAGATCAAATGGCTAGTACTGCTGATGTAAACAAGATGCTGGGGCAAGTAAGGAAAACAACCTGTTTACTTGATCCCCATCCCTTTTGGCTGACAGGAGACACCATTCAATGTTAAATACAATACATTAGTAATGCATCTCTCAAGGAACTTTCCACCCTGTTAAAAGAAACTCCTGCTGAAAAAGACCTTCATAATTATATACCAGTATATATATTTTTTCTTTTGGGTAAAGTGGTTGAAAAGTTAGTTGCCTTCCAATTCCAGGTAGTCTTGGATGACACATACTTCCTTGATCCATTTCGAAATAGCTTCAGAGCAAGATACAGAGTTGAGACTGCTATAGTCACCTTAAGTAAATATATCACACCCATACTAAAATCCCTCAATACCAATTAGTTCTGGGCAAAATACAAAGTGTTGGTTTTGTCATTTAAATCCCTCCTTGGATTGGGCCCAGGTGCATATATGTCCGCAGGAGACATTTACCCAACAATGACATTTTTCTTTTGTTGCTTACAGGCACTGAAATCAATATTGTTGAATACAGCTTCTAAATTTAGCATGGGCAAGCTTCGGCCCCCCAGGTGTTTTGGACTTCAACTCCCATAAATCCCAGTCAGCTCTCTGGCTGTTAGGAATTGTGGAAGTTGAAGTACAAAACAACTGGAAGGCCAAAGTTTGCCCGTGCCTATCCTAGACCCTCACCACTAAATATGTTATCTATAATTGATGGGGCTTTCAGTCCAACTACATCTGGGGACTCACAGGTTGAGAACCACTGCTCCAAGGATAGCTCAATGGCAGTTGCAATAGTTTTCTGAGGCCGAGAATGTGTGACTCATCCAAGGTCATCTAGTGAGCTTCAATGGCCAAGCGAGGAATCGGTCCTTGGTCTTTAGAGTTGTAATCCAATGTTCAAACTACTGCAACATGCTGGAATATATATGCATATCAATCAAACTATGAATATTTATTTAATCAATTCAATATTGAAGTAGTCTTGCAGGAGAGTCACTCTTCTGAGAAGTACTTTCAAATAAAGAGCTGGTAGGACTCATCCAACACTTTGTGGAGCTACTCCACACACACTCAGCTAGCAATTTGAAGTGTGGAAAGACAATATAAAAAGTAGTGGGAAAACATAGGATTTCAAATTGAGAGGATCTGGATCTTTCATACAGTTACATGAATACTGGGGTCAACTACATAATAAAAATCCGAAAGAACTGTAGATAGCATGAGATTCTTGGAATATAGTACCATTTGCACAATTCAATCTATAACAACCATTAACGCCACTCAGTGATTTAAAAAAAAACTTGCACAAACACTGCCATCCTAATTCAAACATCATTTAGTAGGGAATATCCCAGCTGAACCACCTCAGTCCCCTTGGAGAGAGAGGGTGGGTTATTGTTGGGTTTTTTTTGTTATTATCAGACTTACAAATAAACACATGGAATATGTCTTCCAGTTTGACCTTATTACACAGAGGAAATGCCTGGTCAGATAATGAAAGCCATAAAGTGGCTGTGCAAGACTTCTGGTAACAATCTATAATCAAATAATAGACTCCCAAACATTTTGATCCAGCCCAGCATTTTAAGTACCATTTGTTTTAATAGAAAACAATAGGGCTGTATAATGTTTAATTTTGACTAGATTGTGCCCTCTGCACAAGGGAAGTGCCTTTAGTCTGCCTCAGTCTTCAGCTAATTTAGTGTCCCCCTTAAACTCTGCTTTTGATTTTAGCAAATATATGTTAAAATAGTCAGACGGACCAGAATTATGGTAAACAGACTCAAATGCAGTTGGGGTTGAGTTTACCTGCAGTTTGAGATCCTATATAGGACAAACTTTACTGAGGACGAACCTAAAAAATGTTTGTTTTCTGGGGGGAAAAGGTTGATGCATGCATCCCCCTGGATGTACACAAAACACATAAATCTATATCCCCCCTCCCCCCCCCCCCACATGTGCATAATCTATTTAGCCACAGAATCTGGGTCAAATAAGTGAAGCAACAGATTTGCTTTCCAGTTGCCTGGGCTTACACAGCTGGGTGGATCATCAGTCAAACATATTTTGTGCAACTGAAAGCCTTTCCTTTCACCCCTTTGCAATCTAAAAGCTGTGGGCGGTTGTAAAACTTCTCCCTGACTCTACTGTCTATTTTCTCACGGCTGACAGCAAAGGCTGTATAAATGCTGGATTCTCATGAAACAAGCTCTGCTTACAGGTGAACGTAGTGTGCTTCCTTATGCCCCAAGGGTTTTGCTAGGGAGGAGCTAAATCCCTGAGCTCAGGTGTAATTCTTCTGCATATATGCTCCACCTTAATCTTCCTGACTCTTGCTGTAGGATTTCTCTGAACTGCTGAGCACACAGAGGGGGAGAGAGAGGAAGTTCTTTAGTCTCTTCTGCTTTGAGGACTGACTCAGCCAAAATGGGTTGAAAAACTGTGGCAGTTCACAACGAAGTCCAACAGTAGGAGAAGAAGTATGGATATGGTCATGAATATGGTAATGTGCCACTGCTTGTTCTCTGTGTGGAATGAGTGAGAAAGGGGGTGCATACCCTTTTGCTGTTTAAACAGTTCTTCTTTGGTTGGTTAGAAAGCTGGTTGTAATTTTTTATGGCTCATTAGGATGTAGTGGAAAGCAAATTGAATGGGGTTTTGTATAATACAAAACCAGATATGGTTTTGTATTATTAATTCTGTGAAGATGTATTGGGGCTATGTTGAGTTGGCTGTGGGTCCCCTCCCCTTATGAAAAGGAATAGCAGTATGTGGAACTATCATTCTTGTCCAGTAGTTCTGTTGAGTTGGCTAGAAATGATTTACCAATCCATGCACTCACCTGTTTAACTTGTGATGCAGTGGAAAATAATATATGAACACTACCTTGACTCCCTAGTGTAGTGGTGTCCAACCTTTGGTCCTACAGGCATTTTAGACTCCAGCTCCCAGAATTCCTTTTCTTTGGACAAGCTGGAAAAGGTTTCTGTAATTTGAATTCCAAACACCTGAAGGACCAAAGGTTGGGCACCTATGATCTTGAGGTAACAGAGAGTGGAAATGAATGGAGATAAATGAATGGATTAACTAGTGTTGAGTGTTGGGTGTGGAAAAGTAGCTATTCTAGCTATGTACAGAGATTTGTCAGTAAACACGCAAAGAGGACCCCATGTCCTTGAGGGAATTGCTGGTTATGCATCCTGGGTGGGATGCAGCGATGAAACAAATTTATCTGCACTGTAGAAGTACCACAATTTGACAAACTGCCATGACTCAATAGTATGGATTCCTGGGAGTTGTAGTTTTATAAGATCTTTAACCTTCTCTGCCAAAGAGTGCTGGTGCCTCACCAAACTACAAATCCCAGGAGTCCATAGCATTGAACCATGACAGTTAAAGTGATATCAAACTGCAGAAATTCTACAGTATGAATACACCCAAAGTTTCAGGCTGTGATAAGTCCTCTTGATGTGTTCTCTTGTGTGTGCCTTCAGATTGTTTTTAACTTATGGGAATCCTGAGGTTATCACAGGGTTTACTGGGGCTAAGTGTGTGAGAGTCACCTAGGCTTTTTTTAATGTCTGTGCAGGTATTTGAACTCTGGTATCTAAAGCCATAGTCCAACACTAAAACCTGTTAGGTTTCATTTAACCCCACTGAGCTGACTGTGAATGTGGTAGACTTGTGTCATCTCTCTTAGGGAGGGCCACACTCCTCAATGCAGTCAGTACTAAACACAAGATTCATTTCTTATTAAACTTGTCTGCGGCTGGCTGGTGGCTGTTAGCTTAACAGTGCTATGCGATACATGCACACCTTTGCAGCTGCATTTATTTTGGCTGTGAAACTAACTGAATAACCTTTTTTCATTTTGAACTTTTGAGAGAGTTTGGGTGGCCTTGCTGGGAAAACCTGCAGGAGAGGCTACTTCCTGGCCCCAGTATGTCATCAAACATTGTCTTTGGCACCTGACGCATGTGGCAAATTTCCAGTCAATTCTGCCTGCCGGGGTCAGAGTACTACTGCCTTGATTAAACAAATGATAAATGGAACATGTTCCTCTTTAGAAACACCAGGCCAATAATGTCCCTGAAGACAAGCTGTAAGTAAGCTGTCGGAAAACAGCTTTTCATGGAATTCCCCTGCCGAGAAAGTGCAAAAACAGGGTTACTGCTGATTTTTTTTAAAAGCAGTGAATATAACAGCCACAGAACACTTGCAAGACTTTAAAGTGGGTGATAAAGACACTGACGTTGTTGGAAAATGTTTGTATCTCAGCCCAGGTGTTAATAAAAATTGAGATTGATCAAGAAATCTGAAGAAAATAAAGACTTGGAAAGTCAGCTATGAAGGAATTACAGTTGTCCCTCCTCATTTGCGGTTTAGATTTTTGCAAATTAGATTATTAACAGATTTGATTTAAAAAACGTCCTCACTAGGAAACTCAAGGTTCTCCAGTATGCCTCCATGGTCAGTTTCCTCCAGTCATGGTGGAAGACCTAGAATTTTCTGGGGAGACCACCTCTCTAGGAATTTCTAGTGCTTCGGTGCAATTCTATATTCAGCTTCCAGTGGAATTTGACTGTAGAGTCATGCTGGAAGAATTTCTAGAGGTATGTTTTCTCAGGCAATTATTTATTCCTTCCTGAATTGGAATAAAAACTGTGTTCCTGACTTGCTCTTTTGCTTTAAAACAAACAAGGTCTAGTGAGTTCTGACCTATTTTTGGTTAGAGATGGATTGTTTAGTTCTGCACTGAAAACCTTGAGTATTGTCATGCTAGCCCCAAATGTTTTGGCTGTCGATAGCCCCTGATCATAGAGCAGTAACCCACTGAAAGCTTCTTTGGGGTTGACAGAGGGGGCCCATTTCAACACCAAATTTAGACTTGGCTGTTCATCCATGCCTTTGGGACTCAGTGATCACATTTTGGTCTTTGTCTAGTGAATTGGTTCTCAACTTGTGGATCCCCAGGCCTTCAACTCCCAGAAATCCTAACAGCTGGTAAACTGGCTGGGATTTCTGGAATTTGTAAGCCAAAACGCCTGGGACCCACAGGTTGAGAACCACCGGTCTAATAGGTTAGTGGTTTTATTTGTTTAGGCCAAATGGTTTTAGTCTAGTTTTAGTTTGTTTTTATGTCCTGAGGAACCCAGTCTGAGATTATATGATCAGGCATCTCTCCCAATCTTTTTTTTCTTCAAAATTTATATATGGTGCTAGAAGTTCTAATTCTAAACCTTTTTTAGTGTCTCACTTTCTGCAATCTTGGAAATTTGAGAACTGAAGCAAAGTTTTACTTAGAGGAGCAGAATTCTTATATGGCAGCCAATGCATTCATTTTGCATTCATTCTCGGTAGCTATATTCCAGCTCTATAGACTTTCCTTCCAGTGCTGCTAAATGATTTATTTTTTTTAAAAAAAAAAAATCAGTTAAGTCAGATAATAGATTGCAAAGTTCAGGAAGAAGAGAATGTTAGTGATGTCAAATTGATTACCAAATGCAATTACATTTGACAAAGTGACAAGTAATAAACGGGTCAGAAAGGGAATTTAAATATTTCTAGCAGCAAGGTGCTCCCAGTGGTAGAAGTTCCAGCAACAGGGGGCTTAGCAGCATTGGGTATGCACGGATGCACTGCCTGTGGTGATGGTAGTATCCATAGAACCCTTCACAAACAGACAACTTTGTGGTATTCACACTGTCATTCCAGCTGTGGTCCAGATATAAAATCACAACATTAAACAAAGAAAACCACCTTATTTATAGTTTGGGATCTGGAGTCTTTATTCTAATGAGAACATTCCATAATAAAAGAAGCACCTGGTTTGCAATAAAGAACTATAAACAGTGCTGTGAATCTAAGTTGATTTTAAAGTATGCACATTGATATTGTGCCTGAGCTACAGAAACAATGGTGTTTATTTTATCTTGGCTTCTATTGATTGTAGTCATAACTCTGTGCAGTGTTTTGGAAGCAGATCAGAAGGTTTGGTTTATCTTTCCTTTATGGCATTGTTAATTGTATACACATTCCAGTTTTGACTATTCTCTGGCAGAAGGGGCTGTAGGATCGTACAGTTGGCTGCTCTAGTGTAATTGGAACAATTGAAATATCTCCTAGGTGCTTTGCGTCACACTGTGTAATGGGGAAATAATGGAGTTGACTAAAAAGGGTTATTCAAGAGAAGCAGTTCAGGATTTAATAAGTTGGATGCAATTACCCAGAATTCAATAACAACTCAGGACAAGGCCCAGCTGTGTTTTCTTTTCATTAAAGGCATCCACGACTGTCCTTTAGCATAATGGATGTTCTGTCCATTTTACCTTACTTTCTGATCTGATAAGTTACACCCTAGTAGTGCAGTTCCTTTGCACAGGGCTGTGGTTAACATCCCTCATACCACAATAACAGATAACAAAATTCATAAGACAGTTCAAGATACACATAAACCTTAAAAAATGCATATCTGGGAGAAATATTCACTAACATGTTTTATGCTGTGATTTCCTGCACAGAATTCTGGGTTTCCAGTAAGGGTTTCTATAGTCTTTTAAATAGTGGCTAGTTTACTATAGAATAAAAAGAGCCAAGGCATCTTTTTTGTGTAGGCTAATGCAGTCCCTAAATTTTGAGATATCCTAGGATCTACATTTGGGATGTGCTAGGGCAACATTTTCTTTTAAACAGTTTATATTTTCAGAATGTGGGGAAAGCTACTATTTACACCAGCCTTCTCTTTAGCACTAGTCCTAATTATAAATTTTCCAGGGTCTTTGTGGAAAGTAAACAGGGGTCCCAGTACTTATAGGTTCTGGGTGGGCACATTTATGAACTACTTGTCATTCTGATGTTTTAGAGATCATTTGGAATTAATCTGGGCTAACTCCAGTTCAAGTGTTACTGTAGTTCAAGTATTGCTCTGTTTACTCAATTAGACCTAATTAATGAATTATTAATTAATGCTGTGTCATTCTTGTGTTTTCCCTTGGACTTGCTAGCTATTTGGTTCAGAATTTCTGAATCAAGACTGCAAATAACAATTACACATTCTGTTCTTGGCTTTTTTAGGAAAGAACTGAGGACTTCAAGGCACTGCGAGCAAAGTTTCAAAATGATTCTAACTTTTCCAATACATTGCTATTACCTGCAAAGAAGCCTCCTGTAGTGACCAGACCACAGCAAAGATCTGATGGCAATTCACTGCCCCGTCCCAAACCGAAACCCTTGACCCACATACAAGTTCCAGAAATCATTCCACGGCAAAGTAGTGATGGCAACTCTATATCTTGTCCCAAACCGTTGGCACCCGTACAAGTTGCAGTTCCTGAGCAAAAGACTGAGAAGTTCAGCTACATATCTCAACCATCTGAAATAACACCAGTTAAACCTAGGGCTTTGCCAAGGGTTAGGCTTCGGGATTTGTCTGAGGTAGGGAAGAATAGTGATAGGAAAGACTCAGACTTTCCAGGGACTCTTGGTCAAAGACCTATACCGGGGGCAGACCTGCAAAAGCAACGTCCATCATCTTTTGTTCACCCTGAAGAAATTTTGTCAGGAAAACCTACTTTCCAGAACACTCGTAAACTTTGGGAAAGTGCTTCATCATTGAACATTGAGCAAAAGTCTTCTACAGCACCACCACAGTATCCAAATAGGACAACTTCCCTGGGATATCTAAAAACTGCTAATGATGTTACTGATGTATCAAAGGATAAAGCCAAAAGTGTTGAAAATGAGCAAGCACCAAAGAACCCTTCTCAATGTGAACCAACTCAGTTTCTCATAGTTTCACCTCCAGTGCCACCAAGAAATCCCATGACCATAGACAAAGTAGCATGTGAAGCTGTAAAGCCTACTGATTCCTCCATAAACACTAATGACTTAAACAAGGCAAGCATGACTCTGCACTGTTCAAATGGTAAGTACATTTTTGCAATGTAATCTGTGAAGGCAAAGTATAGCTCTTGTTTCACTTCAGGTAGGTGTGGAAATTGATAAGGGAGCTATCAACATGGCAATAGCCAAATTTCAGGCTGCATGTTTCCCAGTCTTTCACAATTGTGCATGAAATATGCATAAATGATATCTATTCCATTTTGTAGAGAAATGTTTTAAGTTATCACATGTGGGAGACTATAAATATTTTCCTGCAGTGTCCCAGAACTGTTGTATGTGCTTTCAGGTCAACTCCAATTTACAACAACCTTATCACAGAGTTTCTTGGTAGGATTTGTTCAGAAGGGGGTTGTCATTGAAATCCCCTGCGGCTGAGAGTGTATGACTTGCTGAAGATTACCCAGTGGGTTTCAATGACTGGGCAAGGATTGAATATCTAATCTCCCAGAGTCTTGGTCCAAGCCTCAAATCAGTATGCCATGCTGGCCGTCACTATGCAGTGCAGATCAGTATGATATCTGTGCCCACTGGCTACAATTATTTCCCTCTTGGAATGCTTTGGGGATTGAATCCATTCCACAAGCCACCACTTTGAGTAGCACTTTTGTATGGAATAGCAATCTAAAGATTTGGGTAGGAAGAAGGGAGAAGAGAAGCCATCTCACTTATAACCTCATCACATGGAGTCTGGGCTGTGTTCCATGCACTTTAGAAGCTGAGTCCCACAGAAGCCATCACATGATTTAAGGGCATTTATGGTGGGACTCCTGTTCTGCAGCATATGGAAACAGAATCCTGATAGCATTTTCAGGAGTCAGGTTAAAAACACAGGGAAAGACAGGCAAAGGATGTGGGATGGCTGGCCATTCCAAAAGACAGCCCTTGGTGGTAGGGAAGTAAGACGATTCCTTCCACTTTCCCCTGCTTTCCTCCAGCTTGTGGGATGAAATCCTAAGTTATATATTTTTTAATGTTTGAAAAACTCTTTTTGGTTAAATGTAATCCTTGGTTTTCCATAATCCCTGGTTTTCCACAGGTCACAGTTTATGATAATGGATATTGGAAGGTTCTTGAAATTAGTATTCACTGCAATAATTGCAGACAAGAGGAAGTGGGTAAATGTTTAATGAACCCTTTTATGAAAGTAAATGTTTGGAAGAATCTTATAGTTGTAGAGGCGGTGGACGGTCTGTAATAGAGGAAGTAATATTAAAGAAAAACTTCTTTGCGCTAAAGGTCTCCCTCCCATTGCTTGCAGTAGAAGGGAATTCCTTATGCCATCATGCTAGCAGTATTTCATGCTCTGGTTGTGGGCATGCCCAGGAATAAGCGATTCTTTAGGTCCTCACCTGGGTTACCAAGCCTGGATACTGGTGGCCATATAAAAGAGGGCAATTGTTCAACCCTACTTCTGGGAAAGCTACAAAAGTGGAAAACTTCAACACCATCCCTGATGAACATTTCTTGTTGTCTGCTGTCTCTCCACACTTTCTCAAAGGCAACTGATTTGCTATCTAATGCCTCTAAGAACTTTCTAAGATAGCAGGTAATCTGAACACAGTTTCCCCTGATGTCATTTGGCTAAAACTTTGAAATATCTATCCCAGGCTTCAGATTGAAGTGAGTTCTTCATAAATATTAAGTGGTTTGTCTGTTGTCATGGTTACTGTGGAGTAAAAGTGATGTGACTCCACAAACTAGTGTACAGTACTTAAAGGCAAAGGTTACGGCTGAAGGCAATCATACACAGCCTTTGAGAACCAAATTGAGGAAGCTGGCATTCTGATTTGACATGCTTTACTTACAAAATCTAGAATGAATGCCAAACATGAAGGAGAAAATGATCAAATTTGTTGTTTTGTTCTTTACCGGAAACATTTGCCTTTTACAGAAACTTAACATTAAACAACAGTTTTGCCAACCTACAATGGAATGCAAGTGACTAATATGAGAAGATTTTCTGTTATATGTGTTCCAGGACATTGTGTTGGCTAACTTTTTGTTTTGTACTGTTGCTACAGGACTCTTGATTCTATTTTAAAGTTTCATATCATATTCATATTTGTACTGTACGTAAGAGCTTTTAATGGTTGTAGTTAAAATGTCTCTGGGGCCTCTTCCATACAGCTGGATAAAATCCCATATTTTCTGCTTTGAACTGAAATATATGGCAATGTGTACTCAGATAACCCAGTTCAAAGCAGATATTGTGGGATTTTCTGCCTTGATATTCTGGGTTACGTGGCTGTGTGGAAGGGCCCTGAGCAACAGAAGAGTGGTAAACATCTTCTTTCTTTTGAGACAGTGACTTTAAGATATAGAATTCACTGATTCAGAGAGTCACTCTAGGGAAACCAATTGCCCACCTATTTATCCTCATTTCTCCCCCACAGAGTGAAGTCATGTTTGCTTGCCAACAGGTTTCAACTCCTATGCCAAGCATTGCTTTGGCATTGGCAGGTGGAATATGATTCATTAAAGGAAGTTCTAGGAATGGGGTCCTGTAATGGTAGGCTGTGTGAATGCTTTCTTCTTTTATTGAGAGTGAAAACTTGGTGAGGCAATCAATATCATGAATGTTCTACCCTTATATCCAAACTGCAGATTTCCCTACTGAAGATGGGATAGTAATCTTCTAAGGTGTCTTGTATGAGTGTCAGACCAACCACAGGATCAATTCCATGGCCAAGTTTTGAATAAGTGTGCTAAATGTATCATGTGAAAAATAATCAATCTGATTGAACTAGATAGATTTAGATCTGATAGAAGTAGAAGAAAAATTGTTTGGATTCGTCACAACATTCAGATAGCTCACACATCCCTTAACTAAAATATAGAAATCACTTTGTTTATTTCTCTCGCCTCCCCATATAGCATGGCAGTCTTCTCTTAACTCTGGGGTAGAGGGACGACCTCATGGTGAAGAAACCCACCTTTCAAAAGCCAAATCACTTCCATCTATTATACCACCTCATACAGAAAAACAGCATGATGGGAGAGAGACTAAACTTCCAAAAATCAAGCCACTTCCATCCATTAAATCTCTTGGACCTCCTCCAAAAAAACCACCAAGGCCTCCTAAGGTAGACCTTTGTAACTTCCAGACGATCCTTCATGGTAAGACATTCTGTATTATCTACTTCCATTTTGAACACTGAAAAAAATAATTTTTATTTACAGATGTAGAGGATTTAAGGGAGAAAAGTGGGCTATAAACCAAGAATGTGAAATCTTTGCTATGTCTTATTTTGGTACCATTATTTTTCTTGTACTTATCCTGGAAAGCATTGTTCAGTTACTTAAAAATATGTTATGGCTCTTCTTATTCATCACTATTCAGTAAGCAATGCTGTTGAATGACTTTCTATGGTTCAAACATTACAAAGCTTGGCTATATTTTTTCCTATCCTGATATATATTCTCAAGAGTATCATGCCACCCTTGGTGAATTACTGATATGCCCTTGAACAATGCATTTTTCTCCCAATCCTTCATTCTGTTGTATCCAGTGGTGTTAAAAGTAAATTCTAAAGTTCAGGAAAGTCTCTACTGCAGCACCCCTGTAGAGAGTCCAACAATGTAGGCTGCTGGTTGATATAAAGCAATATGAAGCAATAGTTTTCATCTCCACATGGGGAAAGTGTTTTTGTAAAACTAATGGATTTCACCCAAGCCATTCTAAAATACTTTGGGTTACAATCGAGATCTCATAACAGTACACAGTTGCTTAGAAAGTCAACTTGCCCTCCTGGTACTGTGGAAGGAATAGGAAAACCTGCAGTTGTGTGACAGCTAATGTCATTGTCTTGGCTCATCACAAAGTCCTTGGGTTCAACCCTGCAAGCTCTGGCTCCACTATACTACTGGTTGTAGCTCTGCATTGAACCCCTCAGAAATAATGTTGGATACAAGGATGTGAAGTTTTCCACGACCGGCAAAGGCTATCAGCTTTAATAGATCTTGAAAAGCATATACTGAAAGCATCTACCTTCAATAAAATGATGGCTAAGTTGTTGTTCTGAGAAAATCCTTTCCAGCAGAAGACCAGGAACATATTCATGGGAAGCCACAGCTTTTTGGGATCCTTTTCACAACTTCATGAAATGGGTCAAATTTGGTGCCATGCACTGGTTTGCCTTCCCTTTTGCCATGGAGCCTGCTAGCTCCTATTCCATGATGCATATCTACTTCCTGCAGGGGCTCCAGGATAAAAGAGAAGGCAAACCAGTGCATGCTGCCACTATGGTGATGGGTGAGTCAGGCAGTGAAGGGCATGGGACAACGGGTTCCCATACCATGATGCATAGTGATTCTGGCGGCCCATCTGATGAGGTTGTTAATGTCATGGAATGTATACATGCCATCTAATATGCTATGATGTGAATTCCAATTTAACTGCTAATCACACCACGCTGTTATAGTGCTATATTCTACTTTAAAAGTCATGGCAACATCCTATGGAATCCTATGATTTGCAGTTTAGAAAAGTGATATTTAGAATTAGCCAGAGAGCTCATGGGCATTACTAGACTACAAACTCCACAGGATATTACCATAGCAATAAAATTATAATATAACAATGTAGTGTGTGTTAAGGATATTAGTTGTACATGGAATACAACTGTAGAAATCAATAGAATTTATATTCATAATGAGAAATGTAGGTCCCTGTGATTTTAGTGGGCTACCTCTAAATATGACTAGAGCTGGATCAACCTGAACTAGTGTTGTGGCTGAATTGGCAAGGGCTGTTTGAGGCCACACCTTCCCCATCCCTAATTGAATAATGCTACATTTAATTTCTCAGACTTACTGTGTGGCTATAACCATTGTCTGCATTATATTTTTGTTACTTATTTGTTTCAGAGGCTGTGGATGATGCATACATGACTCCCGAAATGTAAGTGTTTATTTTTAATTGTCCAGAAAACAGAGTTCCTAAGCCATACACAGAACAAGAAAGCAATGTTTAAAATTGTTTTGATTATAGGGAGAGCTAAAGATAGGATTTTATTGTACTCAATTTCTCTGTTATGGTGCTTGCAATTTTTGTGACCTACAATCATAATATTTTAACAGTGCACATGTTTTCAAAAAAAAATCCCCGAGTCAGGAATTTCATTATCCCATCTTTAGAAAGAAATATGATTATTTTTCTGTGAAAGGCCCTCTTATTTCCTAATTTCAGATATTGAAGTTCTCCTTAGTTGCCTTTCCAAAATCTAAAATAGGCACTGTGAGCTACTCTTTTGTTCTAATAGTTACAGTTATTGTTTTTTTTTTATTAGTATGTAATAGTTAAACAGAGACAACAAGTAACAATGCGTACTCCAGATGAATTATCATCCCCAGAGCCCCTGGTGGCATAGTGGGTTAAACTCTTGTGCCGTCAGGACTGAGGATCAACAGGCTGCAGGTTCGAATCTGGGGAGAGTGTGGGTAAGCTCCCTCTGTCAGCTCCAGCCCCCCATGCGGGGACATGAGAGAAGGCTCCCAAAAGGATGGTAAAACATCCAAAACATCCAGGTGTCCCCTGGGCAACATCTTTGCAGACAGCCAATTCTCTCACACCAGAAACCACTTGCAGTTTCTTAAGTTGCTCCTGACATGAAAAAAAAAAAACACCATCACCACCACCATTGCTGCTGCCATCACCATTTATTTGTATAACACCCACTAATGTGTTACAAGTAAAACAACAAAAAATATCCAGCCCTTTCAAAGGCATACAATAGAATAACAGAATCATATAGTTGGATTAGACCACATAGGCTGTCTATCCAATCCAACCCACTGCCATGCAGGAAAAGCATATTCAAATTACCACTTACAGATGGCCATCCACCCTCTGTTTACAAGCCTTAAAGAAAGGTGCTTCCACCATGCTCTGAGGCAGAGTGTTTCAGTCAGAAAGTTCTTCCTGATGTTCAGGTGGAATCTTCTTTCCTCTAAATTGAATTCATTGCTCTGAGTCCTAGTCTCCAGGGCAGCAGAAAACAAGCCTGCTTGTTCTTCCTTTTGACAGCCTTTCAAATATTTAACATATGCACATATGAAATACAGGGCAAGGAAGATAATATGCAAATATAAAACTATTCACTGCTATTACATAACAGATTATCAGGTAGAATATATTTATTTATTTATTGGCATTTATATGCCACCCTTCTCACCCCCAAGGGGACTTAGAGTGGCTTACAAGTAAAAAGAAAATACAATATATTATTATCATAGCAAAATAGTAATATTATATATTACATTGTACTATAACATTATGCTGTAATATTATTAGTAATGTTACATTTAATATAAAATATATAATTATAATATCATATTATTAGTAGTATTATATTGTATTACATTATATTATCAATATTATATGTATATACAATATATTATATTATATTATTATATTTTATATTATATTATATTATATTATATTATATTATATTATATTATTATATTATATTATATTATATTATATTATATTATAAGCACAGTGCAGGAGACAAGATGGATCTGCCTTCCTGGCCCTTCTCTTCATTCTGATCTCAGAGCAGCGGTTGGTGCAACTATTTATATTCTCTAACTGGTGATCTTTGTGCAGGAACTGTAAAAAACATACTGCCCCACATAACCTTCCAAACGTGGAACTGCCTTAGGTATACATTATGAGATTTCCATAGTAGACAGCTGGATGGTCGATGGGTGTATCCAGTAAACATGGAGGTTAATCAGAACTTTGTGGTGTTGCTGTATACTTCCAAGCCATTTCTGACATATGACAACTCTAAGGTGAATTTATCACAGGATATTTTTTTGGCAAGATTTGTTCAGAGGTTACCATTGCCTTATTCTGTGGCTGAAAGAGTGTGACATATCCAAAGAATTTCTGTAGCTTTCATGTATATTTGTTGGAAAGCAGCAAGTAATATACTTATTGATTAATTATCTCTTATTCAAATGTAAGTATTATTCAAATATTACATAATAGGTGAGGATTCTTTAATGTTCATTTTAATGTAACATACAATGTTTTCTAGCCTTCCCTATGGTCCAGCTCCCATATCCATAGATTACTATGGGGAATACCATTGCTTTTACTATGCGGATCTTTGTTGCCAGTATGATGTCTCTTCTCTTCACTATTTTATCGAGATTAGTCATTGCTCTCCTACCAAGAAGTAATTGTTTTCTGATTTCCTGGCTGGAGTCTGCATCTGCAGTAATCTTTGCACCTAGAAATACAAAGTCTGTCATGGCCTCCACGTTTTCTCCCTCTATTTGCCAGTTATCAATCAGTCTGGTTGTCATAATCTTGGTTTTTTATGTTTAACTGCAACCCAGCTTTTGCACTTTCTTCTTTCACCTTGGTTAGAAGGCTCCTCAACTCTTCCTTGCTTTCGGCCATCAAAGTTGTATCATCTGCATATCTAAGGTTGTTAATGTTTCTTCCAGCAATTTCTACCCCAGCCTTGCATTCATCAAGCCCCGCACATCGCATGATGTGTTCTGCATACAAGTTGAACAGGTTGGGTGAGAGTATACAACCCTGCCATACGCCTTTCCCAATCTTGAACCCGTCTGTTGTTCCATGGTCAGTTCTTACTGTTGCTACTTGGTCCTTATACAGATTCCTCAGGAGAGAGACAAGGTGATTTGGTATGTTCATACCACCAAGAACTTGCCACAATTTATTATGAGTTACATATTCTCATAATATGTCCAAAGTACAATAGTTTCAATTTAGTCATCTTTGCTCCTAGTGAGAGTATTAGAGGATCATCTCTTGTTCCTTCATGGCTGCCTTTCCAACTCTTTTTCTTCTTCTGCTATACAGTATCAACAACAACAACAATTTTTTATTGATTAGCCAGTTGGCCATATCAAAAACAGACAGTGCAAACACAACATACAACATACGTCTGGTCCTATTAAAATAGAATACAGCTATATAGGAATTTAGGATTGAATCATCTCCAGACTGAGAAAGGTGGCATAGAAATGCAGTAAATAAATAAATAAATAACCCAGTCAAGGTATAAGAAAGCTTATTTCAATATCTTTTTAGCCAAGTTATGTAAATTATCTGTGATCATTTTTTTAACTTCTTAATATTTGAATGTAGCCCTTTGCACTTTCTCCTTAACTTTCATCCATGGTCATTCCAGATCTTGGCTATTTTCTGCATGTAATATGGGGTTATGTATTAAATCGTTTATGTTCCTTCCCCCAGTTTTCATACCTATTTTCTCTGAGTCAGATGTTGCTTTCTGTATTATACATTTTAAATGTTTTAGCCATGCTGCATCTCAATCAAGAGATAAAAGTGGGATTAAATAAATACATAAAGCTATATGAGAGAGTAGGTGATATTTATTTATCGTTTCAGAAGCAAATTGAGAATACAGTTATAATGTATTAAAAATCACAATTTTAAACTTGACATTATGCCAAATTTCCTTTAACCAGAAGCTGGCCACTTCAAGTGCTTCTGGTGTCGCTGTAAGAAGGTTTCTCATTGTGCATGTGGTAGGGCTCAGGCTGCATTGTAGTAAGTGATCTGTGGTTGCTCTTCTCCACTCTCACATGTTGTGGACTCTACTTTGTAGCCCTATTTTTTAAAGATTGGTTCTGTATCTCATGGTGGCAGAGCACAGTCTGTTTAGCACCTTTCAAGTTGCCTAGTGTTCTGTGTGCTGAGCAGGGAGTTTCTCATTCGGTATCAGCCACTGATTGATGTTCTGGGGTTTTATCTGCCATTTTTGCACTCTCATTTGCTGAGATGTTCCTGTGACTATCTCTGTATTTATTTATTATTTATTTATTTATTTACCACACTTGTACCTTATCCTTCTCATCCTGAAGGGGACTCAGGGTGGCATCACAAAGACAAAATTTGATGCTGTGCACACATATATATCTTCCTGTAGATCTTAGGAAGCTGGTTTTTGATTTAAGTCATTGGCATGCTGGCTGAGACTTTACTTTATTCCTTTATTTATCTATAAACAGAGGATGGGCCAGAGATGTCAATGCCATGGTCCTTTCATTGCTGGCTGCTCCTTCCCAGTAGGTAGTGGAATATCAGCTAAACAGTATCATTTCTTCAGTGGTGTTGGGCAGAGATATCCTGTGATAATGCAGCATGTCTCATTAAGAGCCGCATCCACTGTTTTAATGTGGTGAAATGTATTCCATCCTGGGCATGCATATTCAGCAGCAGAGTAGCAAAGAAGGTGATACAATGTAGCCTTATCTGCCCCCTTGCCATTCCGTTTCTCCACATTGTGTCCGGAGAGTTTCTTCTTGTCCAAAATATTGATTGTGCTTCAGAACAACAGGATATTATAGCACTCCCCATTCTTACAGAGTGAACCATACTTTCTCATTATCATCATGAAGACTTTGTTATATTTTAGAAATTCTTCTGATTTTTTTAGTGCATTCCATTATTCAAATATGTTGGCTTCCAAGGACCCACAAAAACCTATTTTGGTATTTCTTTCTTTAGAAAGCATCTATTAGCAGAGCTTGAACTAGGACTCTGTCAATATCTACAAATCATGACTTCATATTATCTATATAGTTTCACAAGCAGGATGCTTCTTAGTGTCAGCGGCTAGAGACCAAGTGTGGTAGGGTGCTATTGGCTCCAACATCTCTTTTCATAGTCAATTTGTTGACCATGGTGAGAAGGGAATGCAGGACTAGATCGGCCTCTGTTTTGATCCAGGAAGGGGCTTTGCATGTTTTATTGTAAGTACTTTCTTGAGTGAAATTGACTAGAAAATGCAGATATCTGGTAAAAAGACTAATTATTCATATATTACTGGTATTTCCTGCTTTGCTGCAGATTTAACTTTACTTTATTCATTTATTTATCTATTTGTTTTTAACTGGTACTTCTTTTACACTTGTAGTATATATACCATGGACATTGCAATATATATACCATGGACAATATACTCATATATTACTGGTATTTTCTGCTTTGCTGCAGATTCAACTTTACTTTATTCATTTATTTATCTATTTGTTTTTAACTGGTACTTCTTTTACACTTGTAGTATATATACCATGGACATTGTTCATGATGTATACACATGCTTTCAAGAAACTGACCCCCACACAATATTTTCCTTTACTTTTTCATTTGTTGACATTTCTGAAGTTATGGACTGTAAACGGTAAACACAGTACTAAGCTTAATCCATGGAAACTGAGATCTGATTTTATTGTTATCATTGAATGTCAGCAGACAAGGCTTCTGATGTTGTTTACACAGCAGTTGTAAGCTGAAGCGACATAAATGGGGGGGCGGGGTGGTCTTTATTTAGACAGCTTTTTGAGTACACTTTCTGTTTTTGGGCCTTTTCCGCTATATGTGTGTGTGCGTGTCTTGGCTACCTAACAGTATGATAATCAAATAAATGTGCCAGTGTAAATCAAGACTGTTGCTACCAATTCAGCAAGATGTCTGTAAGCAGCTGAATAAACTAGAGACAGGAGGATTAGTGCAATAAAAGCTTTTAGCTCTTCAGAGGTTTGAGGAAATCTGTTTCAACCTGTTAAACAAAAAGACAAGACTCTACAATCTCATGTTGTTGGGTTCCAAGATAGCATTTCATGACTGGTGAGCTTTTCTAGAAGGATAAACAGCTTGTTCTTGTGTCATTGAGATAATGCATACACCAGATTGGTTGTCACAGGCAACAAAAAGGGAATGTTATTTTAGAGAACAATGGATGTTACTTTGCAACCTTCCTTGACACTTGGCTGACTCCTTGGCTTCCAGTTTCCAACCCAGTTCAGCACCTGCTATCTTAAAAATATAACATTTAGTCCACGAATAAACTAGCTGAGCTGGTTCTTTGGGACCTGAATGTACATGGCATGTTTGGCTTTTGTCAGATCAAACTTTTGAGATAATTTACAGAGGCATCAGCCAAAAAATGCATTTCTAGTTTAGTGAAACAATATCTGGGTGGTTACCCAAGAAGGTGGGTAACATTTAACCAAAGTTAAATGGTATGCTGTTAAATAACCTTTTACTAAATTGTATGTTGTCTATGACATATTGTGATTGGTTATGATTTGATATTAGCATGTTGAAAAACTGGTTCTTAACAATACACAAGAGGAGGTCAGTCTACCCCCATTGCCTTGGACTGAGACAGTGGTGGCTTGTGTCTTTCCCAGCAACATATGCCCTACTGCCAAATCCAGAAAGCATCCAAGATTTCTGAAGTCAGAATCTGGAACACTCAGTTAAAAATAATTCTTTAGTAATGACTGAAGGGAAAATGATGATGATGATAAATTTTATTTTTACCCATCTCTCCCAAGGTCTTGATCTTTTGGGAAAGTTAACTGTGTGTTACTTAATTTTTTGTTACTTAATGTATTTTAAATTAAATTAAGTGTTACTTTATTGATCAAATTAGTTTTTAAAGTAACTGTTTTAAAAGTTCTCTTTTAGTCATTTTTGTGTAAGTTTTGTTTCCCAACTTTCAATTACTGTCACTGAAGTTATATTCTCTATTATCAACGTGATTGTTAGGAATAGGAATTATAGACTTATCAGTATATTCAAAATAGGAATGTCCTGTTGGTGTCTTACAAATGTGTACTTTCTCCTACAAAATCATTAGCCAGATTTGTCTGGTGTGGCATGACCACACTCAGTTCAGTGGTCAAAATAGAATTGTGCATATAGTGCATCACACATGGATACCATTGCTTATGGTCATTTATTGTGCATGGTTACACATTGATGCATATGCTTTCAGACCTGATGGTATTGGATAGCACAGTGGTGCAGTGCATTAGAAAGAAAATGTATTGCAACTGCTGCAGAACTCCATGAGTCATTCTTCATCTTTTCAATGTAGAATCATGTCCATTATATCCTAGCATTAGTAGGCATTGCTTTCATTCTGAATCTTTGTGATTAGTTCATTGGTAACATTGTATATGTCTATTTGTTTTCAGTTTGTGTACAAATTCTATTAATCAATTCCATTTGAACATATAAAGATTATTTAAAAATGTCTTGTCATTATGTATATTACTCTGCACTTCTTTGAGGAAGACAACTCATCTGAGTAATTTTAATTCTTTCACATTGGCATTATCTTACATAATTTCATTTTCTTTTAATTTTCTTTAGTACTGAAATTGAAGAATTGAGTACATATGAAGAAACGATGTCATGTCTGATCCATCCAGAATGTTCTAATTCAATTCATGAAGATAAATATAGTGAGTCTTACCAGCTGTTTTATTCATTCATGGATGATCTTTGGGATATGTTGCTAGTTGGACAGTAATTTCAAAGTCTGCAGCAAGGAGGAACTTGAGAACAGAGCTTTTGAAAGGCGGTCCCTGATAATGTATGCAATCTATAGATGTGAAGGGTATTTTAGGGAAAGGATACATTCTTTTAGTTTAATATATTTTTGTGCATGTTTTTATACACATACTCAAATTTTCATGCATTTATATAATGCATTTTTGTACATGTTCCAAAATGCATTTATAATCAGATGATCACAGTAGGAAAGGTGAACAAGTGCAAATATGACTGTTTATTTGAAATTCATATTTCGCTTCCAAGAGTGCAAAATGAATAAATGTATCCCACCATCCTAGCTGTTTAACAATTTAACATTATACCTTTCCCTCACATCTTTGACTGCATTAAGGCAAGCATCTACTTCATGAGGAATAACTTGACAATTAAAGTTGTAAATGGTGGTGCTTTGTCATGTAGATAAAAGTAAAGGTTTTTCCTGACATTAAGTCTAGTCGTGTCCGACTCTGAGGAGTGGTGCTCATCTCCATCTCTAAGTCAAAGAGCCGACATTGTCCGTTGACACCTCCAGGGTCATGTGGCCAGCATGACTACATGGAGCATCGTTACCTTCCTGCAGAAGTGGTACCTATTGATCTACTCACATTTGCATGTTTTCAAACTGCTAAGTTGGAAGAAGCTGGGCCTAACAGAAGGAGTTTACCCTTCTCCCCAGATTCGAACTGCCAACCTTTCAGTCACCAAGTTAATCAGTATATATCCATAATAATTTGTTTTTGTTCATACTAGGTATTTTCAACCTTTCTTCATAATGCTTTAGTCACCCTTCTGGTTTTAATACTGTTTCCTCCTGCTTTTATAGCTTTTTATCTTTTCTGTGTGACTGTATCATTTACCTCTTAAAAGTTAGCTCTTAAAAGTTTTGATGGGATAAAATTCATACATTCCTAGCCACTGATTGCCTATATCTGTAATAAACTGAACTACAAATAGGGCAAGTAATGAATGCATTCTTGACTTTTCACTTTATAGGTCTGTATTTATACAGTTTATTTCTGGGGAAAGGTCATGATTTTCAGCACACTATAATAATATAATTTTATTCTTATATCCTGCCACCATCTCCCCAAAGGGACTTGTGGCGGCTTACATGGGGACCAAGCCCAGTATAAACAAGGGTTGCAAAGTAACATACTTAAGACATATAACATATAACTTGCAATAGTATCATAAGTCTAAAATAGTTTAAAATTGCTCAGATGGAAAATCCAGGTTAATGTAGCATTGTACTTGAAATGGAATATTATAAGGTGTGATTTTTTAAATGGTTTTATGGAAATAGATACAGGAAACAGCAGGGAAGATATACTAATTTGTGCACAATCTTGATTCCAGTTTCCAAAGCAGAAAAAAAAGAAGATATCAAGGTACATATTTTCAAGACTGTGGTTTAATGTTAGCAGTGATAAAGGAGAAACAAGTACAGAGAAGATGGGAAAGGAATGAATGTCTACGCAAGGGGTGAAATTCTTCACTAACTTCATTCTTAGAAGAAGCAATGAGTCGTTTTCAAACGTTATCTGTAAATACAGTACATACTCTACATTACAATATTTACCTGTGGTTTTTAAATACTACTAATAATAATAATCATCATCATCATCATCACCATCATCATCATCTGTATCCTGCCCCCACTCCCAAAAGGGACTTGGGGTGGCTTACAACAAAAATGCAATATATATAGTAATAATAGCAACCAAAACAACAGAGATCAACAAATCACAATACAAAAACAAAAGCATCCATAAAAATACTAAATATATAAAAATACTTCAAAACATTACAAAGTATAAAAAATTGTGCTGGAATAAAATGTATTATGCATAAGAGGCACAAACAACATTTTTTTTTGCCCAAGAAGCAAATACATGACAGTGACAATTACCTCATTCCTGCTGGGTGCTGAGCTATTTTAGGTGCTAAATATATATGATTGGAAATTGACTTCTTATGAGGTCCTGCTCTTTTGTTTAGGACTGAGTTGCTGACTCAAGAAAGTTTCCATTGGGGTCCTTGGAATTCCTATAACTTTAATGTTATTCAACTTTAATAAAAGACTTGTGTTCATATGTGCAAAATACAGACTAGAATCCCAGAGGCCTGTCCTTTAGACATACCTTTTTTACTTGGCCACACACTTCTCTGTGCATAGTGAAAAACTTGTCCTTTCAGACTATCAGGTGTCATTCAAAATGAGCCCCAATAGGGAAATGGCATTCATGTGCATTTTAGTGATTATGTGGAACCTCTCTGTGTTCTAGTGACTTCTTTGGATTCTAGCCATGATTTCATAGAAGGAAATGAAACACAGATGTAGAGAAAGATGTTTCTTCTGTAAATATTGCTCTTCAGCCTAAACAATGCTATTCTTTTATGAATGACTTGACCTCAGATTTCTGAAAACTGAACCTTTCTTTTTGTGTTTTACATAGAAACAAAATTTCCTTGTTGCCATACCCAGGTGAGTGATTTTCCTGGAATTTATGTCTTGAAAAAACAAATTAAGATGCCTAGCAACTAGATTTTTTCCCCTTTAGAGCTGAACCTGAATAAATAACTGAAGATTATTGCAAATATATATGAACTGCCACCTTTTATTTTCCTTCTCTCAGCCTTACATTGTCTTTTTTAGAAATATGTTTTATATTTATAAAGGAAAGAACCTGGGGCGGAGGTAAATAATACCACCGAATAGTTTGTTGTATATTCCTCTAGGTCATGAAGGCCATGTAGCAGTTCTGCTCTTTCACCTCTAATTTTTTCACAGACCTCTGCCTTTTCAATAGTTTCAGTAGTTGAATAGTTTTCAATAGTTGCTCATAGCATTTTAGTATCTCATCCAACAATCCAGACATACCACTCATTATTATGCTAATAGGTTTTGAATGCATATTATCGGCATTTGCATATTCTTGTCATGTTCTGATTCTTTAAGAGGCAAGCTAGGACAGGCAGGACACGTAATGAATTGGAAGGGACAGTTGCAGATTTGCCGCAGGCACCTATGTAAGTTTGTGCATACCATCTAACTGCCCCCCACCCCCCCAAATTTGGCAGTACCATTTTTCAGCAGTTTTTTTAAAAAAGTGTAACAGTTTTTCTTTTGTCCTTCCATTTTTCCCTTTGTTCTCAGATTACTTTAATGGCTGCAGGTTGAGTTCCAAGTACAAAGGGGTTTGCACTCAACTCAGGACCAAAGGCCATTAGGGAGGTGGAATCTTGCCCTTCCTTAAATGTTTAGGCAAAATCAAAGTGCTGGGATCTCTCTAGCTAGTATGTCCTTCTTTATTCATAACTTTTGCTTTTGTAACCATACTCTGATGTTGTTTAGCCACAGGTGTCTAGGTTTTCATCTGTGAAAAGTTGGAGGGCCCACAACATGTTTGAACCCTAACCCAGTAACCATGGACAGTTCCAAATAAAGTCATTTTTAACGTTTTACCTTTAGTTTCTCTGGCCAATTGTAATAATAAATAGTTGAACATTTTGAAGAAATTAAGAGCACATTATTTGCATATATACAATAAGGGTAGCAGGTTGCCTGGATTTGTTTTGAAGCTCGAGATGCATTTCACCCTCATTCTGTCAAAGAACTAGTTCATCCAGTTCATCTGGAGCATTGTAAAGATTTATAAGATTTCTGTAGTTGAAATATACTTGTTAATGCTAGATTAAGGGAGAGAACATCCAGCAAACATAGAAATGCACCTTTTTATAGTTCTTTGAATATGCTTCCGTTCAAGTGCCAAAGCATCTGACCTCTTAGATTCAGAAACCCTTCAAAATGTGAATTGTGGAAAGTTCTTATAGGACAAAACTCCTAAATATCTGCAATTGCCAAATTCAGAAAAATTATTAGGTGTTTTTTTTAATTAGTTGTTGTTCTGTGTCTTCAAGTTATTTGTGATGTATGGTGATCCTATCACAAGTTTTTCTTGGCAAGATTTGTTCAGAGGGGATTTGCCCTTGCTTTGAGGATGAGAGAGTGTGACTACTCAACAGGATTCTATAGCCAAGTGGGGAATCATCCAACACTCAAACTAGTCCAACACTCAAACCACTACACCACACTGTTGTACCTGTCTTCTCCCTAAGTGATGGACATGAACAGAAGCCTATAAGAAAAAGATTATGTAATTTAAAAGCAGTTTTCCACAAGTGTGGTTTGATCATCTAGGGACTGAAGGCCAGGCTTTTAAAAGCTAAGTGCTTCGGTACCAGAACTCAAGGCTGAATGGATGAATAGCTTTTAAAATTCTCCAGCTCTTTACAGATAATTCAGAAACGTATGGTTTGAAAAATTCTCACCCATCTCCACTGGCTTTGCTAATACAATGAGGCATAACCTTATTGAACTGTTTGTGAATTAAATCCCCTGATGATTACAAAGGCAGAATGAAACTGCTGGGCATGGCATTATAAAACTGGATTTCCATAGATTCTGGTAAGTTTCAAAAATTGTCTAAGAGCTATTACTATCTCTGTATCTAGAAATCCCAACATTACCCTGGTGCTTTGCAGTCGTGAAAATTATAGCGAAATTGCTGCTAATGTGGAAAGTTGTAGTAAAGAAGAAAACATGCATGGACTATTAACATTTCTTTTAACTGCAGCTGGGAAATGTGCAAGTACATGTGATAATTATATTGTTCTTTATAATTTTGGGGGTAGTTATAGCTCATTGGCTGTAAAACTAGAGCCTTGTTAGTAATCACCATGAAAATAAGTTTTTTGATAGCCATACAGCTATGACTATATAGTTGTCTTAACATGTCAGTGGTATCCAAAAACTCTAAATGGAGGCAGTGAAGCCCATCACAAATAAGTTTTTCTTAGCCAGTGTGGGTGGAGGAGATCGGTTGGCTGACCTTAGATGGTGGAGGTCAGTTAAGCTGGCATCAGGCAAGTTTAAGGAGGAAGCCTGTTTAATAGAGGTATGCATTTGGTGCAGATGTAGTTGGGAATCGTAAGTTATTCAGAAGTACAGCACCTTTGAAGAGAGTTCCGACATGCTTGCTCCCCCCCTCCCCCCATATTAAGTATTTGAATCAAAAGGAGCCTTCAATTTTTAAGCCTCAAATGTCATTGGATGTAGCTGTGATGCAGCTAAAATTCACCGGGCAAACAAACCCTGTGGAGAGGTGAAGCCAAACATGTTGACGTGCCTATCAGCCAATCAAGGAAGAGAGTGGAGGGAGGGAGGGGGAGGCAGAGGTGGCTCTTGAAGTTTTTTTAAAACAATGTTTTAAAAAACTTTGAAAATTCCCAAAAACCCTATGTATTAGTGGAATGTTATGAAATGTGATAGGCAAAGAGTGATAAATGTGTTCTACCATTGTAGCAAACTTCATCCCAATCGCTTTAAAAATGAGGGCGATGTGGGCCCCTGAAGTTTCCCATATATAGTAATTTAATGGGAAGCGAGGAGAAGCCATATGCCTGTGCTAAACTAGATTTCCCAGAATGCATTGGGATGCAGCAGCCAAAATTTTCACCACCCAAAATTCAGAAAGACTTTAGAAATGAAGCGCCAACACCCCTATTTTTGGAAATAGTTTAAAACCATTTTTTTTATCAATCGTACATGCCTACTGTTTAAGGTCTGCTTCACCCCCTTCTCTTCCTTTTTGTACTGTGTTGACCCATCCTTCCACCCAGTTTTCAGAGTGAAAACACATTGGTCACTGGATAGGAATCCCCCTCCACATTTAAGATTTTTTCATCTCTCCTAAACTACCATGGGGGACTTCACAATTAGCTAAAAATGATGTCGTAAATAGATCCCCATTACCAGGTTTGTGGGGAGAGTCAAGTTCAGTGAACAACTGTAGATTGATTTTGTATGTAAGTGGGAACACATACATGTTTAAGTTTAACCTTTAACTCCAGCCAAATATCTATCTATCTATATATATATATATATATAGATATACACACACACACACACACATACAAGTTTTGGCTAGTATAGGAAAGAATTAGCACCCTGTGGTGTTTCTTTTGCTGTCCATGCCCCTATTCAGAAGATTTTCCCTCACTTTCTGTCCCTGTGATAATTGGATTTTGAAAAAAATGGAAACAACGATTGTGGAAACAAGGATTGGTGATAAAGCTTCAATTGAGATACCTTTCCCCATGTTAAGTCTTCCAGGAGTGAATTTCCCTCACTTCCTGTTGTCTCATTCCCATTCTTAACTAGGATTTTTGTAACTTGGGGACCACCTCTATTATATTCTACCATATCCTAATATAGTATTATTACATTGTGAAATGAAATATGGTTTGAATTGTAGAGAGGTGTTATGTATTTATTTTAAATAATTTTCACTAGTACACCTTTCTTAAAAAATGGAAGCCAATATAACAGGTGACAATATAACTTATTTTAAAAGTACCATATTGATTGCAAGGTAATATAAAATAGCCTTCCAGAAGAGGAACATTTGGCCTGGCAGGGGGTCTAAATGCCAGTTTTTCTAAGGAAAATTGTCAGATTTGGTGTCACTACATACAAAGTCCTGTTTATCTGTCAAATAAGCATTTCCTGCAAAGCAGGGACTCAAAGAAAGATATGAGGAGAGGGAGATATTCAATTTTAAGCTGATACATAAAGTATCCTGAGTCCAAAATGCCTGAGGTTTCACAGATTGAAACCATCAGTTTAAATTGTTGGGTTATTCTGGGTAACAGCAAAATTAGTGCCAGTGCAGAAAGCATTTAAATCTAGTTGCAGATTCAAGTTTCAAAGCTAGCACCACATAAAGCTCACTTTTATAGTCCAGTCTAGATAGCCATTGTACTTCATGTCTTAGTTTTATGACATTATTTGTTAGAGAAAGACACACCCAATTCAAGGTACATTCTTTCTACAAATACCACTTGGGAATCAAGTAAGATTGGATTAGTCCAGGGGCAGACTCAGGTTGCAATACATCTTCCAATTTGAAACTCTTATTTTATCTGCATTAAATATGACCTTGCAGAAGCTAACAAGACAGTCCCATTTAAGAGAACAATGATCTGGGTTTCCTTGTAGAAAGATACTGATAATGATTAAATTCAAATGTAATTCTGTGCTTACTGTAATTTGAGGTACTATCGACCTCATCAGATGAAGGTCCTCCTTGTTTCTATTCACTTTAAAGATGGAGTTTCACAGAGCCAAAAGAGTCACAGGACTTTTCTGGTGGTTGCCCATGGGATTTTGCCTTCAAAATGCATTGAAATGAGAGGATTCTGAAGCCAGGGAGGAACTGATTCCACTGTTCTTCCTGTGCATTGAAACAGCTATCACCTGGTATTTTAAGGTGGGATAGAAACTGTTGGATTTTAAGTTGGGATGGTAACTATTGTTAAATTCTGTTTCCTTTGGAAATAGAAAGCCACTGCATCATGCTAAGATTATTCCCCCGTTTCCCCCCCTCTTTTGTGCAATGAATTCCAGAGACCTTCATAAAGAGAGCTGGCTTGCTGTAGTGGTTTGAGTATTGGACTATGACACTGGAAACCAGTCCCTGTTCAGTGATAGAGACCTACTGAGTGACCTTGTCCACGTTGTATTCTCAGGGGATTGCAGAAGTAAAGAATCTCTAAACAAATCTTGGCATGAAAACCCCAACTTACGGTTTACGTAAGTTGGGAAGAACGTGAAGGCACCCAACAACAGTAACAACCCCAAAGTGAAAGGGAAAGTTTCTGCACATAGACCAAGGTGTACCCTAAAGATAGGTAGGTCAGAAATGTTGAGTAGGTAACTTTGTTAATACAGGCTGACAATTTAGCTTTTATTTTAGCTACTGTGAGTTACCATATATGGCTGACGTACTTTTCTGCCATTATAGTATTTACCAAGACATGATAGCTTGAGCCATGACATTAAAGAAGTATGTGACAAATTACACTGCCGTGCAAAATACACAACCATAGAAATATGTGTATGATCTTAAGATACAGGGACTCTTGGATAATGTTTTATTATTCCAGTTATTTAGAAACAACAAAATCCCCAAACATGCACACATATGCACATGCATATATATCAATGCATACGGATCTTAATTCCACATCTATTTGTACTAATATTATTTGATGTTTCTTCAAAACATCTGTTATGCAAAAATTGTAACATGGAAACTTTGTTATCCGATTGGCATTTCAGTTCTGAAAAGAAGGATACAAAAGAAAGAGGGCCACTCTGGAACCAGGATATACCAAAACAACAACCTAAAGAAGCATCCGAGGTATGTTTAAACAGAAGAATAAGTAGTTTCATGGTTTTCTATTTTTCAAAGCATGCCTGTTGGTAGACATTGTTATTATGTGCCTTCAAATTGAATTCTTTTAGGACTAACAGTGTGTCACATGGGCAAGTTTGCCATAAATCAAACACATGTGCCATAAACTACCATAGACATCAGGACTAGATTTGTGTTGAATCATTAACACAAGTTGTGCAGGGTAGTGTTTCTTTATCTGAAAGACTGAAGAGCTGCTGCCAACATTTTAAAAATGTGTAAGAATATCCTTTTGCTATAAAATATGAGGAGTTTAAGTGAGAATTTTTGTGTTAAAAAGTTTGTACAATATATGTCCCTTTCCTGCTGCATTTGCTTCTTGAATTCTTTTAGGACTAACAGTGTGTCAAATATCTCTATCTACGTTCCTCTATAGAACGTGGTCATCTTCTGTACAGTCTTCAACCATTGTTTCTCATTTGTGAAAGAAACAAAATATGGATGTCAAAATGGAAATTCCAGGAAAGCCTTCGACAAGACATCGAAATGGAAATGTCATTGCTTTCAATGCAATTTATTCTTAGGAAATGAAGAAAAAAAATCCAGGCTTAAAAGTCTGATATTTTCCTAATTGGAAAGAATTCCATACAGTTATTGCCTGCAGCTTAGTCTAAAACAGGAAAAGTCAAAGTGTGCCTTTTCTGGAACCATTTTTATGGAGACCAAGTTCTCCTTCCCCAAAGTAAAAAAAAAAGTACTTTTTTTAAAAAAAATGTTCTGGACTGTCAAGGAAGTGTCTGTAGGAAATGTAGGAATATTTTCACCACATTTCAACCACCCAGGTGTCTGAGGGACTCAAAATACATGTCATTTTGTAATTTTCTTCCAAAAAGTGTTTCTCTTCTCTAATGTCTCTTAGATGGCATTTGACTGTTTTACAGAAGGATGTACTTGAGGGGGGGGGGGGTCTAAGATCTCCTGGGAGGGGAGTGAATGTGGCTCCCAGTCTTTCACAGTTGCCATTCCCTGTATTAAAGGGATTTTAGTCTGTTAAGGGGTTACTGAGAACTCAATTTAGGCATCTTTGTTTTCTAGTTGAGCTTGAGTTAAAGAATGTAAAGTATTTACTTGTAATAGTCCAAATTGGGCAAGGTACATGTTGATAAGCCTTTAACCTGAATGTCAATATCTTTGCTACTAGGTTAGTGACCGTGACACTGTCCTCACTAAGATGAAAATGAATGGAGAACATAGAGGTGAGAAGCATGTGGCTTAAGAAGAGACCACCCAGCCTTTCCCCAGAAGAAGGCTAACAGTAGATGGAAACTGTCAGTTTTCTTCTTGCATCTGCTTTAGTATTAAGATTAGATGTGACCTAAGAACAATGCAAGTGACGTGTATGCTGGATTACATTCTTAAACTCTATTTACAAATCACAAATCTGGGCAATGACTGACGGGTTTATGAGTATATCCAGATTGAAAGGTGGGGCATGGTTGTAGGAGCGCTTATTGAAATGTGATAAGGAAACGAAGATAGAAATGAGGAAGTTCCTGGTTCAAATAAGCTCTTGTACTAGAAACTTGGCATGGGGTCTTCAAGAAGGCACACTGTGTCTTTATTAATTGGCAACAATAGGAAAAATATTAAAAGCATGTTGTAAAGATGAGTGAGCTCTTGCTGTTTCTAGATAGCAATTCATGTTACCTTTTATCACTGGCTATGTTGGCTGAGAGTGATGGGAGTTGGAGGTCAAAACTATATGAAGCAGGAATTGCTAACCATAAAGAATATACTATATGAAACATTAGAGGCCTAAACAACTCTTCTTGCTGCATGGAAAAAGCATGTGCATGAAAGGGGAAGTGGCTTAGGTGGTGCGGGGATAATATTGCCCTAGTTTTGCCTGCCCACATCATTGTAAATTCAGGGGAGTCCATTTTTCCAATCAAAAAATAACCAATAACATTTTCCCTGATTTGGAGGGAACAGAGTAATGTATCTCTTGGTTAAAATATGCAAAAGTTCTGAAGAACTGTTACTGTAGCTAAGCCTGGCAAATCAGCAGAACTTTAAAACAAAGTAAAATGATTTTTTTAAATCTTCAGGATTAGATCATCATGTAAATATAGAACCAAGCCCTGTTTGTGTTTGACAGTGCCCTGCTGTGTAAGAACCTGGTCTTGTCATACAGTGTATCCCTCCCCTTTGAGTTTATTTGCTGGCAAAAGTTTGGATTGCCTTTAATTTTATCATGATATGAATGCTCTTTGTGAATCTCCTTCAAACGCTTTGCTTTTGCTAATGTAACCTGTTTTGCTTTCAAACACAAAAGAGCTTCCCAGTGTTTGTGAGTTAGAAACTGGCCTTGTTTCATGCTGTTACATATTTTCCAAGTATAAACACTGCTGAGCTAAAGCCGAACTTAGCCGTCAGATGTATTTGTATCTCTCACTGAATTCCATTAGTCTTCCTCAGCAGGGTTTGTATGGCAATGGAGAGAAAATGCAATTAGATCATTGGCTATGCAGGAAGGGTTAGAAGAATTCAGGGCCAAATGTTATCAAACCCATATGATGAATACAAAGAATAGTGTGAAAAACATAACCTCCAAATTTACTGATTTGGTAGGAATAGTTCATGTGAATCCCTTCCGCTTCTACTTTTTCAGCTGCTTTTAAAATATCCTAAAATTGTTTTAAAATATTTTAAAATATATCTTTTTTATATATATAATGATTTTTATTGAAGATTTTAAAAGGGGTACATCGAGGGAGTGTCAATCATCGACGTAACATTAGATAAAAGTATTTCGATAGGGGTAGGATGGATGTGGTGGGAAAGGGGGTGGGGGCGTGAAGGCGGGGGCAGGTGGGGGGGGTAGGAAGGAGTGTGGGGATAGTAGAAGGGAGGTGTGCGGGGAGGCGGAGGTTTAGGAGTGACAAAGTTAGCGATTTAAATCTATTGATTAGAGCCCGGTGTGCAGATTAGTATAGGTGTTTGCAGGATTTCCTTCACGAACTTCCCCCTTTTCCTTCTTAGTTGATATTGAAATAGGTTTTGACTGGGGACCAGTCGACGTTGCCTTTCGCCCTTGTTTGCGTATTTTTCAGATGTTCTGTTAGACAATCCATATTCATTATATCTAAGTAATTTACATGTCCATTCGTCTATTGTTGGGATTTCACTCTTCTTCCATTTTTTGGCCACTACTATCCTTGCCGCTGTCATCATGTGGAAGAGAAGTCTGTCCTTATTTTCCTCTAATTCAAAATCAAAGATTCCCAGGAGGAAATATTCCGCCTTCATCTCTTTTTTATGCTCAATATGTTATTTGTTATATCGTGTATCTCCTTCCAAAATCTTTTAATTTTGTCACAGGCCCACCAAGAGTGGAAAAAGGTTCCCTTCGTTTTCTGACACTTCCAACATAGTCCTGGGACATTTTTGTACCATTTTGTTAATTTACTGGGTGTTATATACCAACGGTACATCATCTTAAGCCAATTTTTTCGCAGATCGTATGAATTTATCCAATTTAACTTTTTATTCCATATATCTTCCCAGTCTCTTGTTCTTACTGTATGCCCTATATTTCTTGTCCATTTCGCAAGACAATTCTTGTTTTGATGTTTCTCCGTCTTCCTTTCCAATAGTATCCTGTAAATTTTGGCAATCCCTTTTCTCTCTGTACGCATAATTTTATCCCATTGTTTTTCTCCTGGCTCAAGGCCCACTTTTTTATCCTTGTTGAAAGCTTCTATTAGTTGTCTATGTTGATACCATGTGATCTCATCGTATGTAAGTCTTATTTCTTCTAAAGTCTTAATTCTGTATTCTTCTCTGTTCTCCGTTAAAATATCCTTGTAGCGGGGCCATTTCTCCCAGCCTAGTTCCCGCCTTTGTGTTGCTTCGAGTGGTGACACCCAGAGGGGAGTTTTTGAGTGGAATTTTGTTTTGTATTTTTCCCATATTTTGATCAGGGGGGATCGAATAAAATGGTTGCCAATTTTTTTTTCAATCGATCTTTTTGCATACCATATGTATGCGTGCCAGCTGCTCCTCAGGTCATGGCCTTCTAGTGTCCAGTCTTTTATTCTGTTTATATTGGCCCATTCTTTTACCCACAGTAGGCCACATGCGTCGTGATAAAGTTGCAGGTCCGGTAGTCCCAGCCCTCCTCTTTCTTTCCTGTCAATTAAGTATTCGTATTTGATTCTGGGTTTCTTCCCTGCCCATATAAACTTTTTGATTTCTGCATTCCATTTCTTGATTGTTTGGAGGTTTCTTATTATAGGGATAGTTTGGAAAAGGAAGAGGAGTTTGGGCAGCACCACCATTTTAATGGCGGATATTCTTCCTAATAGTGACAGTTTTAGGTTCTTCCATTTGGTTATTTCTTTGTTTATCTCACACCATTTTGTTTCGTAGTTATTTTTCATCAGGTGCAGGTTTTTTGCCACTAAGGTTATCCCTAGATATTTTATCTTTTTTACTACTTGTATGCCGCATTCCTCCTCCAACTTATTTTGTCTCTCTTTGGTTATGTTCTTTGTTAGTATTTTTGTTTTGCTTTTATTCAATTTAAAGCCCGCTAATGCTCCGAATTCTTTTATTTTTTTATCCAATTTTGTATAGTCTCCAATGGTTCTTCTATGATGCAAATAACATAGTCTAAAATTGTTTTAAAATATTTTAAAATATATCTTTTTAAAAGATCCAAACCAATATTTCCACTTATAAAACTGTCCATATGCTCCCTTTCTGTAGGTTACAAAAATGTGTTCTCTTTGCTTTAAAACTAATCATTCTTGAGGTTTACTTATTCCCTGTGCTTGGCTGTTTCCTCTCTGGGACACGCTGTTCCCAGAACAGTGTGTCACCATAATATAAGCTATTATATGGTTGCTGGCCAGGGTAGTGCTATGTTGTGTTTACTAGAAACATGCTTTTATGCCAGATAGAAAGGCATGGAAAGAAAGAAAATTTAGCTTATGCCAAGTTCATCAACTACATATCGCCTTTGTATATAAGCTGGTTGTAAACGTGCTACTATGTTCAGTTGAGGGTGACTTTCTACGAACTGCTGCCATTGCGGATTTTGGAATAACATCTGAATGTCAATCCACTGAAAATGTAATGGATAGTACTAACTGAAAGTGTTGGCTTTGCAATATATTTTGAGGAGGTATATGTAGAAACATTGTCACATTCCTAGTGAATTTGCAGGATTCACAGCACTTGCATGGACTATTTGTGCAGTAGTCTGCTTTGCCAACTAACCTCAATCCAGGAAACCGGGCAAAGAGAATTCCATTACAGTTTATTTATTTGTTTACTTACTTACTTTATTTTTATCCTACCTTTCTCCCAATATAGAGACTCAAGTTGGCTAATAATTAAGGCACATTAAAACCACATAAATGTATTAAAATAGAAGTATAAAAATTAAAAAAGCAATTGAACTCTTTTTGTCATTTCACCATTAAACATAAATGAAAATGCATTCATTTCAGATGACTATGTATGCCTGGAAAATTTGATATTAGATGAAGAGAAAGCAAGCACAACATCCCCCACACCAATGCAAACTGTGGAGGAAGTATATGATGACGTGGAAGGACTACAAAGTGACCTGTGAGTACTTTGTAGCTGTAAAGCTTCTGCAAATAAATTTAAGTATTCCAAAAATTGGAAGTCTCTTTGAACATCTCAAGCATCACCTAATGCCTCGATATTTTCTTTTACAGGCAAGCCTGTGATGCCTACAGCTCATTCACTTCAGATGCTTGTAAGTGTTGAAATTAACATATCTTTTAATAAATAAAACGGACCACTTGGGGAGGACTTATGCAAAACTAGTCCTATACTTGCAAAGCTCAGCCACACCTTCAGTGAATTCTGCACAGTGAGCCCTTGAGGTCCTCCAAAGTTTGGTTCTAGGATACCAAAATGACTGAATCATCAGTTATAAAAGGCCAACTATATACATATGCCTCCCATATCTGCTCACCGCCTTGTCGGGGCGCTGGAGCTTGAGCACCTCAATGATGTCATGAGCGAAACCGTGAAGGGACACCCAAGACGGGACGGTTGTGGCAGAGAGGTCAGACCAAGCGTGATCCCTGGAGAAGGCAATGGCAAACCACTCCAGTATCCTTGCCAAGAAAACTAAATGGACCAGTACAACCAGAGATATGTCGGTATGCCATTGGAAGATGGGACTCCCAGGTCGGAAGATGGCCAAAATGCTACTGGGGAGGAGCAGAGGATAAGTTCAACTAGCCCCAGATGTGATGACGCAGCTAGCTCAAAGCCGAAAGGAAGGCTCGCGGCCGACGGTACTGGAGGTGAACGACGAATCCGATGCTCTAAAGATCAACACACCATAGGAACCTGGAATGTAAGATCTATGAGCCAGGGCAAATTGGATGTTGTTATTGGCGAGATGTCAAGACTAAATATAGACATTCTGGGGGTCAGCGAACTGAAGTGGACTGGAATGGGCCACTTCACATCAGATGACCACCAGATCTACTACTGCGGACAAGAGGAACATCGAAGAAATGGAGTAGCCTTCATAATTAATAAGAAATTCGCTAAAGCGGTGCTTGGATACAACCCAAAAAATGACAGAATGATCTCAATTCGAGTGCAAGGAAAGCCTTTCAACATCACAGTGATCCAAATATACGCCCCAACCACAGCTGCTGAAGAAGCAGAAGTAGAACAGTTCTATGAGGATCTGCAGGACCTACTGGATAATACACCAAAAAGACATTATTTTCATTACAGGAGACTGGAATGCCAAGGTGGGAAGTCAAATGACAACTGGGATCACAGGCAAGCATGGTCTGGGAGAACAAAATGAAGCGGGACGCAGGCTGATAGAATTTTGCCAGGAAAACTCGCTGTGTATAACTAATACTCTCTTCCAACAACCTAAAAGACGGCTTTATACATGGACCTCACCAGACGGTCAACACCGAAATCAGATTGACTACATCCTTTGCAGCCAAAGGTGGCGGACATCCATCCAGTCGGTGAAAACAAGACCTGGGGCTGACTGTAGCTCAGATCACGTACTTCTTATTGCCCAATTTAGAATAAAACTAAAGAGATCAGGGAAAATACACAGACCAGTTAGATATGATCTCACTAACATTCCTAGCGAATATACAGTGGAAGTGAAGAACAGATTTGAAGGACTAGATTTAGTAAACAGAGTCCCAGAAGAACTATGGACAGAAGTCCGAGACATTGTTCAGGAGGCGGCAACAAAGTACGTCCCAAAGAAAAAGAAAACCTAGAAGGCAAAATGGTTGTCTGCTGAGACACTGGAAGTAGCCCAAGAAAGGAGGAAAGCAAAAGGAAACAGTGATAAGGGGAGATATGCCCAGTTAAATGCGCAATTCCAGAGGTTAGCCAGAAGAGATAAGGAACTATTTTTAAATAAGCAATGCATGGAAGTTGAAGAAGACAACAGAATAGGAAGGACAAGAGACCTCTTCCAGAAAATTAGAAACATTGGAGGTAAATTTCAGGCAAAAATTGGTATGATAAGAAACAAAGATGGCAGGGACCTAACAGAAGCTGAAGAGATCAAGAGAAGGTGGCGAGACTATACAGAAGATCTGTATAGGAAGGATAATAATATTGAGGATAGCTTTGACGGTGTGGTGAATGAATTAGAACCAGACATCCTGAGGAGTGAGGTTGAATGGGCCTTAAGAAGCATTGCTAACAACAAGGCAGCAGGAGACGATGGGATCCCAGCTGAACTGTTTAAAATCTTAAAAGATGATGCTGTCAAGGTGATGCATGCCATATGCCAGCAAATATGGAAAACACAAGAATGGCCATCAGACTGGAAAAAATCAACTTATATCCCCATACCAAAAAAGGGAAATGAGAAAGACTGCTCAAACTTCCGTACAGTGGCCCTTATTTCTCATGCCAGTAAGGTAATGCTCAAGATCCTGCAAGGAAGACTCCAGCAATACATGGAGCGAGAGTTGCCAGATGTTCAAGCTGGGTTTAGAAAAGGTAGAGGAACGAGAGACCAAATTGCCAATATCCGCTGGATAATGGAGAAAGGCAGGGAGTTTCAGAAAAACACCTATTTCTGTTTTATTGACTATTCTAAAGCCTTTGACTGTGTGGATCATAATAAATTGTGACAAGTTCTTGGTGGTATGGGCATACCAAATCACCTTGTCTCTCTCCTGAGGAATCTGTATAAGGACCAAGTAGCAACAGTAAGAACTGACCATGGAACAACAGACTGGTTCAAGATTGGATGTATACTCTCACCCAACCTTTTTAACTTGTATGCAGAACACATCATGCGATGTGCGGGGCTTGACAAATGCAAGGCTGGGGTGAAAATTGCTGGAAGAAACATTAACAACCTCAGATATGCAGATGACACCACTCTGATGGCCGAAAGCGAGGAGGAGCTGAGGAGCCTTCTAATCAAGGTGAAAGAAGTAAGCGCAAAAGCCGGGTTGCAGCTAAACGTCAAAAAAACCAAGATTATGGCAACAAGAATGATTGACAACTGGAAAATAGAGGGAGAAACCGTGGAGGCCGTGACAGACTTTGTATTTCTAGGTGCAAAGATTACTGCAGATGCAGACTGTGACCAGGAAATCAGAAGACGCTTACTTCTTGGGAGGAGAGCAATGTCCAATCTCGATAAAATAGTAAAGCGTAGAGACATCAGACTGGCAACAAAGATCCGCCTAGTCAAAGCCATGGTATTCCCTGTAGTAACCTACGGATGTGAGAGCTGGACCTTAGGGACGGCTGAGCGAAGGAAGATCGATGCTTTTGAGCTGTGGTGTTGGAGGAAAGTTCTGAGAGTGCCTTGGACTGCGAGAAGATCCAACCAGTCCATCCTCCAGGAAATAAAGCCCGACTGCTCACTGGAGGGAAGATACTAGAGACAAAGTTGAAGTACTTTGGCCACATCATGATGGCCACATAATGGGAAGACAAGAAAGCTGGGGAAAATGGAAGGGAAAAGGAACAGGGCAAGATGGATGGATGCCATCCTTGAAGTGACTGGCTTGACCTTGAAGGAGCTGAGGGTGGCCACGGCTGACAGGGAGCTCTGGTGTGGGCTGGTCCATGAGGTCACAAAGTGTCAGAAGTGACTGAACGAAGGAACAACAACAACCCATATCTGCAGAGAAAATGTTTCTGGGCTTCACATGGATATGCGAAGCTGCAAATAACTGCAAACTCTATTTAAATTAGTACCATAGAGCAGAAGTGTTGACCTTGTGGCTCTCAAGGTGTTTGGGGCTCCAACTCCCAGAAGTTTTTGCCCACTTGTCCAATGGTCAGGAACTCTAGGAACGGAAGTCCTAAACACCTAGACACCACTGCATAGAGTCATGTTAGGAAATGCCTAGAAATGACTTTTTTTGGACATTAATCCAACTATGGATATAGACCTCACAGATATTTAATTCCTGAAGCACCAGATTTGTTGTGTCTATCTACAGCATTATTGGGAATAGTGCAACTGTGTGGAAGGTATTGAACTTCAGCTCCCAACAGTCCTTACCACACTGGCCAGGGTTGCTGGGATGTGTTGGCAATAACACCTGGAAGGTTTCATAATTGCTTCTCTAAGGCAGTAACATATCCCTCAATTAAGGGAATTATATTGTCAAGGGCAATATTATACTTATCACATGACCAGATAAAAAGCCACACTAGCTGAAATGGGATGTTAATATTCTACTATTTTATCCTTGCAAAAGAAGACAAATAATTTCCAAAGTTTTCTACCCATGTCAGAAAAAATGAATATTTATCTGCATAGTTATTTCCTAATAATTCACACATCTTGACAGTTTGGGGAAATGATTTTACACAGAAATGCACAGAGGTATTGGTATTTGTGTGAGTGAGATTTGTAGGGTTTAAAATAAAAACATTGTCTTCAGAGAGTGGAGGTTTTCTATGCAATATACAGCAATCTTATCAACAAGAATCTTGTACAAAAAAAACCTCACTCTGAATACAACTACCATGCACAACAAAACTATTTGGCTATTTTTAAATGAAAGATTGCTGGATTTTATTTTACTTTCCTGTTGCATGAAAGTTTTTCATGAAAAATTGCTACATTCTTTGCAAACTATGTGAATACTGGGAAAGATCTGGGCAAAAATTCTCACCATTGTATTATTTGTCCTAACTATATATCCTGAGAGCTAGGAAACACACTTATAAGCAAGGAAAGGCTGAGTAGTGAATATATGCTCTTTCCCTACATGGGAGGACTGTGAATTTTAGCATGGCACCACAGAGACAAGGGCTGTAGTGTATTTATTCAACTAGTAGCAGTTGGGAAAAAATTTAGATGACAACTTGTAGATCAGTCTATTAAGATTTTGCTTTCTTGGACATGATCAGGGTCAATAAGCCATTCAAGGTCAGTCAGTGATTTTTGCGGCTGAGCAGAGCTAGTTACCTGCTCATCTTTTACTAGAACCAGCCATAGTTACACCGTCCAAGGGGTATCATTGTGCTGTCAAAGGAAAAAAATGTTCTTTTATGAGAAACCGATTGGCCCATAATAATACTTAATAGTAGCAATTCTCTGTGCAGTGGTGAAAGTCATGGTCATCTCTGTTTTAATGGACTTTTATGTCAATGTTTTATTGAGGGAATGGTGATAGTTTTTAGTCTACTCTTCTGGCTCAGTTATTTTTATAGACTCTTGGTCAAGGAATATATGGACTGTGTAGCATTAGCAAAACTTATTAAAATAGGTTAGTATTTTTAAGAAACTAGTTAAAGTACTATATAGGTAAAGCTCATTTAACATGTCTTCATGTAGGATTTTATAGATTGAATAATTCAATGCTGATTGACCTTTTAAATGTTCCTTAGTTTTATTTGGGTATAACAGGCGGGCTTTTCTCCTTGTTGCAAATTTGCAATTGCTCTGGGCTTTTCCCCTCCTTTTTCTCAAACCCTTTTTGATGTCTCTGTTAATATCTGTACATCTGAGCTGGAAATTATACAACCTGCAAACCACAGTTTCAGCTTTCCAATGAAACCTATAGAAAAAATCATGTATGTATTCTTCACATTTTGTTTTCCCCCTCACTCAACAAAGATTTATCATATTGACCAAAGATTTCCAATTGCTTCTAGGTTTCATTTATATTGTCCCCTTCCTTCAATTTTCATGGAATCTGTGCAGCTTGTGGTACAAACCAGAGATCGAAATGAATATTCACCTTCTCATTCATAGAACTAGCCCAGTCCTGGTCTCTCTCTGGTTAAAACTATACTAAAAGTATTAAAGTGTTGAAGGGCAAGATGATTTCTAGTACCTAACTGCAGCCATTTGTTTTCTGTGGTTTACTACAGAATCCGAAGTAACAATTTCCATTACTGTATCTTTAAATGTCTTCTCTGAGCAATGCATTGCATATTTCTTTCTGAGAACCTCACATTGTTGATAATGAATTGTGATGTAAAGATTATTTTGGTGTATTCAGTTGCAGATGAAAACAGTGAAGAAACCTATGAGGATATCCAAAGTGAAGAGTACAATTCAACCAAGTCAGAGTAAGTGTTTTCATTATACCTACAAATAAGTTGCCTTTTCTTTGATCAGCCTTTGCTTTTTACCTATAGTGAAAAGAGAACATTGAGTTTTGCAGTTTGTGTAGTCAGGCTATCTGGGGAGTGATTTTTCTACACTTTGAGGTAACCTGTACACACACCAAAAAACATTTCTCAAGGAATGTCTTTTATCCTGGAAGCCTCCAGGAATAGCAGATCATGTCTGAACCTCCTAAATACCCTCCATATCAGGGGGGAAACCCTGAGCTTTGAAACTTTTATGCACATCCACCACACCTTTTTTGTTTCATGTTTATTGTTATCATCGTTAGTATGTTCGGGCCCAAGCTATTTGACATCCTGCATCCTCCACCTGCGAGTGTGGAGAAGAGCAAACCACAGGCCACCTATTACAATGCAGTCTGAGCCCTGCCACATGCACAATGGAGGACCTTCTTATAGCAACTCCAGAGACACTCCAAGTGGCTAGCTACTGGTCAAAGAACATTTAATATAATGTCAAGTTTTTAAACTTTGCATTTTTTCAATACATTACAACTGTACCCGTGGTCTGCTTCTGATATAATAAATAAATAAACCTGCTCAGACTCTGTGATGATCGGAGGGGGCCCTCCTCTCAGTCCCGCCCCCATCTCAAGCACGGCTGGTGGGGACAAGGGGGGGGGGGGCTTCCATGGCCACGCCTTCCCTCTGGAACTCCCTTCCTAAAGAAATAGAAAAGCTCCCTCACTCCTCTCCTTCAAGAAAGAATTTAAAAAATGATTTCTGTTCGCTCGTTTATGGAGAGGAGGATGAATAATATCACTGATTCTATCTTAGTGGAAGAAGTCGACAATGACAATGACAACATAATTTTATCTAAGAGCTATATTTTTATATCTTTATAAGATTTTAACTGTTTTACATGATCAGTGATGCCTGACTGACTGATTTATATCTTTCAGCCAAAGTCATTTTTTAAAATTGTTGTGTAATGATCGGAGGGGGCATTGAATGTTTACCTGTTTTTATGGCATTGAATGTTTACCTTGTTTGTGTTATGTTTGGAAGCTGTCCTTAGTCCCTTCAGGGAGAGAAGTGTGGATTAGAAATACATTATTATTATTATTATTATTATTATTATTATTATTATTATTATTATTATTATGTGATTTATCATTTTGTCTGTTCATCAGTTTAATGGTTTTTACTGATGGCTTATGTTTTATTTTTAAAGTAATATATGGACTCTATTGGATAGAAAGGCAGGATAAAATTGGGGACTGTAGCCATTTTTCTCTTACTTGCTAGCTCTCAGTGCTCAAAGGTTGTTTGTTTCTGAATGTGAATGTTGCATTTATGCTGAATCATGACTTTGTCTCATTCTTTTAAAAAAATGATTAAGGTTGTAATAATACATTCAGTAGTATTGAATGATTGGTTGCATATTACAAATAACTTCTGGTGTGGGAGAATCGGCCATCTACAAAGATGTTCCCCAGGGGACACCTGGATGTGTTCCAACCCTGCAGGGAGGCCTCACTCATGTCCCCCCTCAATTCTGACACAATAAATAAAATAAATGAATAGTGGTATTAAATTCTATAAATTACTAAGGTGCCATGTTTAGACTCGTTTACTTTTGCAAACTCTAATCTCCACTGTCATAAATGATGAAAGGGGGGATGTCTAAAATTTGGAGTTTCTTGTTTTAATTTGATCCTTTGTCCTTTTTTTTCTTTACCCAGGGATGGCAAGGTGGAAAAATTGAAGGTGCTTGGAAAAATTTTCAAGAAAGGAAAAATCAAAATGAGAAATGCAAACATGAAAGAGAATTTCCGGTATGCAAGTTTTGTGAAGGACAAAAGGGCTGATTAACTTACCGATCAGGAAATCATTACCTAACTTTGGTCTGTATCAAACATTTGACATTTTGAAATAAAGGGATACTGCAGTGCAGGTTACATTATGGTGCAGACTAAACACTCCTGTCTTTTGTAAAATGTCAGCACAGTAATGCTAGGTACCACATGTCTGCAGGTGCAAAAAACTGGCTATGGTTGAAATATCTAGATGGCCAAAACTGCCATCCTAAACAGAAGCAAACTTTTACCCCATCTATTTTGAACAGCAAAGATGGGAGTGTGGGATAGGATATATCAGTGAATCAGTAGAAATAGTGAACTCTGAGAAAGAAATGGGATGGTGAGCAAGCATTGATGAGAGAGAGAAAGAGAGAGAGAGAGGGGGGAAAATGCTGGAATCAAAAGTATGGGTTCAAATAACAGTCTGTAATATGTTCTGTTGTGTGATGATTTTTTCCTTCTCTTTTGATAATATTTATTTATTTATTTGCAGTAGTTGTATACCACCCTTCTCAATTCTGAAGGTGACTCAGGGCAGTTCACAGTGTTAGCAACAATTCAATGCCATCAATAAAAACAGTATAAAACATGAAAATTGGCCCTCCCCTGATAAAATATTAAACACATCACATAACATATCATCACATATCACACAAAGACATAATTTTGATAATATACATTTGATTATAGGTTTTGGTTACAAAATCTGTATCACTGTTTCTTAAACTGTGAGTCCTGACCCCAAATTGGGTCCTCTTAGCTGAGGTAATGAAAAAATTGGCAACAGTAAAAGGTTTCTGAATGCTACCCATTTACATGAAAAATGTGCAGTGTTTATAGTGGACTTTGCAGAAAATGCTTCAACTGTACTCCACAAAAAGGAAAATCAACCTGTTTAGCAAGCCTTGCAAATAATTTTTTTTCAGTAAATGCTTAATTGTTATACCTATTTTATATAACTATATACCTAGGATCATATAAAATTTCTTGGGCAGAAACAGATCACAAGTATGTGAAGTTTAGGAAGTCTTGATCTATATTAACAGTACTAGTTATGGTTAAGCCATAGTCAAACACATGCAAAGGGCCATCTGCTGAATATTTGGTCATATAACTTCTACAATGTAACAATTCACTGTACTTCATGTAAATAATGTTGCCATTTGTACCCATCCTGAAATGAACCATTTTTGTTTTGTTTCTCCTCTCCAGCAATCTTTCCCGTTCTGCACCAAACCTAGGTATGTTTACATTCTGGTGGTGATACGACCTCCTTGGAGAACACTGTATCTTCTCTCTGTGTTACTTTGTTGTTGATCTGTTTTGAAGTGGAAGATGTCCTGCTTGAATTTTGGTAGATTGGCCACCAAAATTCAATGAAGTGACTTGCACTCATGGGCATGTGGCTACAAATTTACTTTGAAGGCCTTGACAGCTAAATTTCTTCTTTCTGGGGCAAAATGTATGCTGAGAATGAAAGATTGCTTTGGCTTCTAAGATAGATTGATTTGAATTTTAGATTTTAGGTTAATTTCTTGGCATAAATGACTTTGTATGGTGTAATCTAATCTTTCCTACACTGTGAATTTGTGGTGCTCGTTTATTCCCTTTCTCTCTATTCCTTGAGATTGTGTGCATTAGATTGTAGGGTCATGAAGAGGACTGTTTCCTTTAATCAAGGAATCTTTATATGCTTTATAAATTCTAACTAATACATTGTTTGGTTTTGATGACAGATGTTATAGCCCAGGAAACCATGGTGTATAACAATGTTGACACAGAACAAACTGATGCCAAGTAAGTAAATAATAGTGAAAAAATGTTTTGCTCTCATACAAAAATATTTCTCTTGCAAAAAAAAATTCAGGTCTGTAAATATACAATGTACTTAAGATATACTTATGAGTATCCTTGAGAATACTGAGGCAAAATCATAGGAACAGGTATACTACTACACAGTTTTGAGCCAGATCCGTCTTTGAATATAGCACAGATATTGTAACTCTGAGAAGAATTGTGCTAAGGATTCACTCCAGATTCATTGCTTCAGAAAACAGAAAAGTTCATCCTTTTCGTGAAGAAACCAATGTGTTGTGGTGGTCAGGGTGTTGGACTATGACTCTGGAGGCGAGGGCTTAATTCCACACTTGGCCATCAAAACCCATTGCAGGACTTTTGGCAAGTCACCAGAAAATCCAGGATAAGTTCATATTAGGGTTGTCATAAGTCAGAAATGATTTAAAGCACACAACACCAATAACAACAAGAAGAGACATTTTCATCAGTTGAGAAGCTATTTGGCTGAAATCCCATCTTCTACACAACTGTTAAAGGTACAAGAGGCTTGTCCCTTATTTCATCAGGCAATCCTAGTATAGCTTTAGTCTATAGATGGCTTTTCATGCAGTCATAGTACCCCCACATATGAACCAATGTTTAGCCCTTTGAAAGCCTAGAGCAGTGGTCCTCAACCTGGGGTCCCCAGATGTTTTTGGCCTATAACTCCCAGAAATTCCAGCCAGTTTACCAGCTGTTAGGATTTCAGGGAGTTGAAGGCCAAAAACATCTGGGGACCCCAGGTTGAGAACCACTGGCCCTAGAGCTTGATACTAATATCACTTTGTCTCTCCTTTGATCCTGGTTTCTGTTTCAGTGACAATGGAAATGTAGAGAAAGGAGAAGCTTGGTGGAACCATTTACATTTCACTTCTTCTAGTAAGACTGTTAACTACTAAGAAATACTTGTACCACAGGGCAGCAAAAGATCTTCTGGATCATTCACTAAAAATAGTTGTTGAATGAAAGGAAAGGCCAAACAAATATGCATTGAATTTTAAAAGACAGATTGAGATCAGGCAATAAGTGGGTTGGTTTAATTTGGATAGTCCCAAATCCATAAAAATATGAAGAGTCCATTTTCCATTGGTATCTCTTTGTGTATAGCAGAGGTTCAGGTTTTCCCTTCGCATTATTCTTTACAGTTCTCATATTTGCTGCTGTTTCACTATCATCTTCTACTGACAAGCTGTCCCTCTTTCTCTTACCTTGTCATACCTCTTGTCTGTATACACCATCTTGTCTCATTGCTACCACAAATGCTTACCTGTCTGGCTGTCCTCTATTTGAGGAAGCATCAGTCTAGAACATCATACGGGAACATGAGAGAAGTCTCCCACAAGGATAGTAACCCATTCTTGCAGACAGCCAATTCTCTCACTCCAGAGGCAACTTGCCATTTCTCTAGTTACTCCTGACACAACAAAAAAAGTCTAGAACAGTTGAACAGATGTGTCTTTATGTAGTTATTGCACCTTCACCTTGCAGGTGAGCATGGTAAGGAGCCATGGGGTCAAGAAAAGGGAGTTCAGGCAGTGATGATTCAAAGAAAGAAGAAAATGAGGCAATGGCAAAATAACAGGCAGGGGAGAAAGAGAGAGAGAGAAATCTAGGGTGGTGGGGCACTCCTAGAATTGGAGAGACATGCAATTCATTATTCCTAGCACCTTGCCAGTTGAGGTAGCTTCCCAATCTACCTATCTGTGCAGGTTTTAGGTGCCTTAAACTTAGGGATTCACAAATAGAGAAGACTGGATGTTAGTAATGTTAGCTTTCACTGATGTTAGTGAGATGATGAATCTGTTTTAGTTTAAAATATTCAAGGAACTAAAATACTCTGGAGTATAGTTCAGCACTTTGGATAAAAGGATTAAATGCCAGACATAAAATTGCGATGGACTCACAATCTCACTGTCCTCACAGAAACCTCTTTCAATCTGTGACTCATTCCTTCCTAGGTTTGGAAAAAACATTAGAAAAGTTTCCATTTTTTTTTAAAAAAAAGAAAACAACAGTGTATTGTCGAAGGCTTTCATGGCTGGAATCACTGGGTTGTTGTAAGTTTTTGGGTTGTTGTAAGTTTTTGTGAGGTCACACAACCTCTGAGGATGCCTGCCACAGATGCAGGTGAAATGTCAGGAGAGAATGCTTCTAGAACATGGCCATACAGCCCAAAAAAACCTACAACAAGCCAGAAAACAATAGGTTTCTTAAATTTCAGGAAATTCTGATGAAGAGAATCCTAAATGGGTGAAAATTTTGGGAGTGCTGCATGAAAAATTCATGTGGGGTGGGAGTTTAATATTTTTAAAATTGATTCTGGAAAATGAAGCATGTCTGTACATAGAAGAAAAAAGTTTATTGCACAGAAATTCTGCATTTTGTGTACAATAAACCTCTGTTCTTCTTGTAAAATGTCCTTTTCTATACAGGCAAAAAAGCACATCCAGGGGATCAAAACTACTACTGAACAGTGAATAATCTTTATAAGGTGTATAGTTTTCAATGACTTCATTCCATCAGAGAGAGAAATTGTAAATTTACTTATTCTTGCTTGTGAAAATAAAATGTATGAGGATCTGCATCTATAAATCCCAACCTTCAAGGTCATGAATTTTGAGATATTTTACCTCTGCATGCAAATCTTATTGATGGGTTCTTGATACTCTCTTTGGAAACCATTAAGCCTATTTGGCATGCAAGCAGTTACATAGCTACTAGTATGTGTGCTCAGAGACATTTGTCTTAATTACAGATGAGAGCAAACTTTATTACATTCACATTTTAATTTAAACTGACAACTGATATTTCCCAAAGTAATACACAAATAGAAGCACAATCATTCTTTAATTTTTCTCACTGTTCTGAATGTAGCAAATCAGTTCCCTGGATGAGTGATGTGGACATTTGAGAAAGTTGCATGTATATGTTTATGAAAATAGCATACCAAACCCACGTACATTTAGGAAAAGTGCTTATGAAACTTTTTTGGAGAACCATGACTGAAAATGAATTTTCATGCTGACATCAAATTCATACATACATACATACATACATACATACATACATACACATACTTGCTACATTTGAACAATTTGTGTTTGGGGAAAATGGACATTATAGAAAACAGAGCAGACTTTTTTTTTCATCTCTAGTCCTGATGGGTAACAACATTGACTCAGAATGTAAAGAAAGCCAACTGTGGGTTGTTTGTGGTGATGTAAGTAAGACTATTTAAAAAGAATTGGCTCCTTAGCAGCATGAGATTAGTTGGATACTAAATATAAAATGTGTCTTTCTGAGGAGCAAAAGTTCACATCTCGTTCAAAGAAAAATGTTAATTTTAGCATCCGTTTTATGGTTGAATTTATAAAGCCTTACAACCCATGTAGTTTTATGCCTGCGTGAATACTGTGGGCTGCTCGGCTTGCCATCTATTGAACTGCCAGTTAGTGTGCTTATGTAACTACATGATTTGTATTTGACATTTTTTCTGTGATTCGATGGTGCATGAAATGAGGCTTGTTGTCTGGGATATCTTGCTTGATCTCACTGATACTCATTGTCTCTTTCAAATGTCAGCATTTTACAGCTTCCATGTTATCAAAAAACCAAATCCTCACCATGAAATTAATGAAAACTGAAATTTGAAATGCCATGTCTCAAAAGGGAAGGGTTGAGTGAGGAGTAGTGATGATCCAGAAGCATCCTGCAAGAAATGTTGGGTGTCATTTCAAAGAAGTGTCAGGAATGGTCATATCAGTTGCAAATCCTATCCAGTGCTGGTGTTGCATTTGTATTTATGCTAAAGAGCTTAACACCAGGATATATGGAGACAAACTCATCAGTGGCCTTTGGGCTCATTGAGGGCAGAACAACACCCAAATATAATCCAGCTGCCACTGCACAGTTAGGAAAAAAAATCACACAAGACAGCACTGGTGAATATCTCCAAGGTTGTACCATCACAGGATGTTGTTCACTAGATTTGCATGTAAATAGCCTACTTACAATGCAAACACATAAATGTTTAGTCTCAATTGAATCACATCATTTCCAATTAGATTTTATAGTGTAATCTTATATGTATATATGTGTATTCTTGTGTTTATTGTATTTTAATCATTCTGTGTATTTTAATATATAGATTTCATAGAAATGTGTTTAATATATGAATTTTACATAATGTTTGTAATAATGTGTTTTTAACTGTGTTGTGCCACTTTGAGAACAGGTGGGTTAGCATTAATATTAGTTCAGGCATCTCATTGAGTTCAATATGAAATAATTCTCTGTAAGCATATTTAAGATTGCAAGTTTCATGCCATATTTGGAAAGGCTATGGTGACAAGTTGAACAAATATAACATTACTCCATGCTTATACAGACTGAGCATCCCTTATCCAAAACTATAATATTCCAAAATTGGCCACATGGGTGGCTAAGTCAGTGATATATTTGGTTTCTGATGGTTTCATGCACAAAATTATTAAAAATTGTATATAAAATTACCTTCAAGTCATATATATGTGGTCTATATGAAATATAAATGAATTCTATGTTTAGACTTTGCTCCTAGCTTCATCATGTATCATTACGTACATATATGCAAATACAAATATTCCAAAATCCCCAAAACTCAAAACATGTCTAGTCTCAATGATTTTGGATAAGGGTAAGGGATACTGTAATGCATTTATGCCCATTTATCGATTTATCATGTGCATAATCTTTCCTAGCTCTTCCCCGAGGAACTTCTTCAAAACCAAGAAATATAATTTTGAAAAGAATAACAAGATATCAAAAGAAGAAAAAATGTTTAGAGAAAAGTTCATGGTATGTGTCCTTTGGTTGGTAGATCCCCCCCCCCCCCATTGAACTGTTAGGAGAGGTTGGCATGGTCGCACGTAGCTCAGATGATATGTATGATGCATGAAATTATGTTGTGTAATTTATAATCTTCTTCCCTCCATAAAGCTAAAAGTAGCCACATTCCAGACAACAGTTCTTTTTCAATTATGTTGTAATTAGATTCAGACAGTAATTCCTATCAGTTGCTAAGGACTAAGGTTTGGAGAAATCCATGGATTGAAGAATGCAGGAACATTGCCTTTTATGGTGCAGAATTAATGACAACATATTCAACCATTATTCTCTCTTTTTTAAATGAAGGAATACATTATCTTTAAAAAGAAACTATGAATACAATAGTACAGCATCATAACACACAATGAATACAATTTAACATGAGATATTACAAGCAATAATGTTTAGTTGGTCAAGTCAACCTGATGTTAAATGATCCCCAGAAAGGAAAAGAATTCAGATACATTTTAATGTGTCTCTTTATGCTAGCTACTCTGCTTGTGGAAGCCATATCTTAAACTGCAGCATATTGAGTACTATTTGTGAGTAGGTTATCAGTAACCATTTCTCCATCTGAAATAAATGGTCATACAATTTGCTTCAAAAATATGCATCTTTCTTTTGGTGCTCCCTAGGGTTTTGATGTTACCATATGTCAACTGGAAGACACACACAGATGCACATACAGAATAGCCATAGCATTAGGAAATCCACAAATGAATTGACAAGAAACTCATTATTAAATTGATGTGATCTCATTTCTCACAGACATACCACACATTGCTGGTAACGTCCTTCAGTGCCTTCTAAGTGCTTGTTTTAGCAGAATAGTTAACCTACTTCATTGTAGTCTTGGTATGCCATGGCACTTCGGCCAGTATTTAGAGCCAGGAAAAGTTCCACAAGTACAATATTGTTTTCCACTTTTCAGTGAAAGCAGCTGGATCAGCTATGGAAATTTAAAAAAAAATAGCTAGTAATGATTACAAATTTAAGGTGTAGGATATTAGCATCTATTTTTTCCAGATCCCTTGCCAGTTTCCACCAATTATTTCATATACTTGAATCATATGTTATCTGCTTTTTAATCTCATATTAACCTACTTTGAAGGATCACTGTGTAGAATCAAGTGAACCATTGCTCTTCTGCATTTGCTGCTTTTTCAAAGCAGGAACCTAATCCTGTCCCCCGCACTGCATGAGTATTTTTCAGTAACCTTCCACTGATTCATTATTAGCTACTGCATCTTTTAAAAGAGATAAAAACATGAATAGGTTGGTTAAATAATATGTATGCTCTGTACTTCAAGATTTTCTCGAGCAATTCATAGTATGTTCTGAGAGGTTGTGATCCAGAGAACTGCAAACCATGTTCCCCGAATGATTATCATTGCTTTTCTAAAAGAGAGAACTTTTCAAACAAAATCTACTATATATTCTCAAATCCTTAATGATTATAAGTATCAAAATAAATAATGTGTTCAGCATGTTTTTAAGGACTACATCAGATGGGCAGGAGGGAAGCAGGAGACAGTATTGGCAAGAGTGGGGAAAGCATCTTACCTCGTTCTTTCATGGAAGAGTCCATCTTTAGAAATGGCCAGCCATCCCATGACCTTTCTCCGTCTGCTTTTTTGCCCCACCCCACATTTCTGGGAGTCTTCTCTCCCTTGTAGCACAATGGCAAGATGGAGTATCCTAGATGGCCACAGAAAGTGGATGTGCATCATAGGATGGCCTCAGTGGGACTCTGACTCATCAGCGTGTGATAATGGAGAGAACATGGGGAAAGCATCAATCTGATGAGCTTGCAGTATCAAGAAGTGAAAGACATGTGTTAATCACATAGTAGATGAATTTCCTTACTTATGTATCTTGCATATTAGGTGAAGAAGGAGCAATAACACAAGCACAAAATGACAAACGTAACAAAGCCATTACAGTAGTGTAGAAATAAATAATTTAAGACATACAGAAAATTGCTTTGACACATTTTTCTTTACGTTTTCTTTTAATCTGCAAGTATAGAACATAAGATTTATATCCCTATTTCCCCCTTCTTCTAGTATGATAAGGAGATCACAGTAATCAATACAGCTGTTGCACACTGCTCAAATGCTTCAACCAAAGGAAAACGTGACTTGAAGATCACAGCTGGAGAACAACTTGAAGTCATTGATGTTACTGAGGGGAATCAATTAATATGTCGGAATTCTGATGGCAAATGTAAGTTTCCTATAAAACTTCTTTTTTGTCCTACATTATTATTTTATGCTACAGACTTGGAGCGAGTTAAGATCATTGGTACATGTACCCCAATATTTTCAAAATGATCTGGCACCAGTTCTAGGGATTGATGTGGGATTCAGTGGTATCCTTAACTTTAGTTTGGACCTCTGTATGTGGTCTTCAGAGAAGTCATTTTAGGCTTAATATAAATGAGTGAATTCCATTATTACAACCCATATTATCAAAACCAATCACTCTGAATGTTGCAGAGAAGCAAAGGGTGAAAATTTGAATGCATGAATGACTCGTTACAAAAATAAATAGTTTGAGCATTAATTGTGGGTCCTTCCATTTCTTTCCAAACTAAGAAACCAGACTCCTGTTACTAAAATCTGATATTCAGCTCAAAAAATGGACCTTTTACATGAGTATACATTTAAATGTCACATACCTGAATTGGAAAAGAAAAACCATTTTATTGAAATGCCAGTTCTATGGCATATGTTTGCACAATTTGTGTATATCTATGTGACTAATACTACGAGCAACATTCGTTTATGTAATTATTTTCTTTTTTTATTCCTAGATGGTTACGTACTATTAGAACATTTGAATTTCAGGTAATTTTTAAAATGTGATTAAATTCAACATTAGGTCAGACATTTGCTATCTTCGTGATCACATCTTCCCCTGAGAACCTGCGTAGGCTTTAAGATTTGCTGGGGAGGCCCTTCTCTCACTCCCACCTCCATCACAAGAACAGTTGATGGAAACAAGGGAGAGGGCCTTCTCAATGGTGGCCCCCCGGCCCTGAACTCTCTCCCCAGGGAGATTAGTCTTTACACCCTGTCTACCTTTCATAAAGACCTGAAAACTTGGATGTTTCAATGTGCCTTTGATTAATCGGTTCATATATTGACTAAGTCCCCCGAGCCCTAACTTATTGCCTGGCTCTGTAGCACTGTATTACCAGCACTGCCCTTACAGCTGTATTGCATTAACCCTTGCCCCACCCTTCTGGATCTGAACATACCCACTGTTCTCAGCTACTGGTTCTTATGTTTTTATGATGTCTGTTGCACTGTTTTAATTATTGCAATAATTTAAAAAAATCATTATCCATCTCTCCATTTAATGGGATGAAGAATGTGGCTGCTTCCTGAAAAAAAAATTAAGTTCAAATACACTGGGTTGCTGTGAGTTTCTGGGCCATATGGCCATGTTCCAGAATATTGAATGTTTACTTTTAAGCTTTTTTATTGTATTTATATTTGAATTGTTCAATTGATATGTTATGCTTATTACTGTATGTTTAAATTGATATGCTAATTGTTTAAATTGATACATCATGTTTATTATTTTATGTGTAATGCGGCTGCCCTGTAAGCTGCCCTGAGTCCCCCATTGGGTGAGAATGGCGGGGTATAAATGTAGTATAATAATAATTCAGGAGAGAATGCTTCTGGAACATGGTCATACAGCCCAGAAAACTCACAGCAACCCAGTGATTCCAGCCATGAAAGCCTTCAACAAGTTGGCAGATATATAGTTTCAGCTCACCTTTGTGAGGTTTTACCACTAAGACAGAAGACCTCATGAATCATGAAGTATATTCTTTCACAGTATATTTCATGTATATGTATAGGCATATATATTGCCTTCCATAGGATGATGGACTGCAACTCCTCTGCTAGTAGTTGTCTCAGATGACCTTCATCCTTGCTATATAATACAAAATTTTGATTGCTTCTCTAATGTCTTGTGTTAGTTCTTAATTTAGAGGTATACTCCAAGTTAGTTTGAAATGTGACCTTTCTTTATCATAAGAAATCAATATCTAGAATTCGTGTGGAGACTTGAAGCTGATTTCATGTTTTTGTGTGCTCTCTTTGTAACAGGCATTAGCTGTGTATATCTGAAGCACCATGAACTTTTCCTAATGAAGCAAGGATGCATAGGCTGAAAATATACACCAGTATATTTGCATAGATGAGAAAGCAATTAAACAGTTTATGGCAAACTAAACACCACCCTTGACTTCTTCAGCGAATGAGTTTTAATGGCTAGCAATTGCTTGTCAACTGCCACAAGATGAACATGATTGCTTTCAAGAGTTATGAGATGGATATACTTTGTTCTTTGAAGACATGATTGGCATGATTTTAAATACATGATTTTAAATACATGGTGGAATCTCAAATGCTATACACTGATAGACCTCTGGACACACAGGTATATCACCAAATTTTGCTTCCAGCAGCAGTGCTCAAACACTTAAGAAATCTTCCAGTGATACTGATTTTTCTTTTGGCTCTGGGGATTAATAATCTGAAAAGTTCCTATGCATGTACAGAACTCTCCTTCAGTCTATGGTTCATGATTAGTATAAAGAGTTTATATGTGAAGCTGTACTCATTTCCTTGATTAAGAGTAAAAGAGAGAGCAAATGATAGCACACTTAAAAATGAACTACTTATCATTTGTATACATTTCTGTATTAGGCCTGCACTTTGACACAATAATTTTAAATGTAAATAAAATATTGATTGGCATATACTCATAGACCCTTCTTTTCTGAATAATCTCTTGCTACCTATATTTCTTAGATTAAATTGTAACTCACTTTACACAATTAATATGAGCACAAAAACTGTAATATGTATCCTAGTTTGCCATTTTACTCATCTCTTCAGTGGCTATTTTAAAAAGTGAATCATATGCAACATACACTGATAACAGACTAAATTCACCTCCCTCCTTGTAGATCTCTACATTTCTAAATCTGTTCTTGAGGATTGGAGACATTTTGGAGCAGAGCAAGGTGTCCAGTGTCAAAAGAGAATAAAGTGCCACTACATCACAGATGTTAACTTGTCCAGTGTTACTTAACAAAATTAGCTTTTGCACACAAAAAAATGAAAGGGTCCTTGTTATTTTCAGAGCAGGGCTGGTATCACCTTAGATGGTAAGAGTTCAATATAGTTGGACACACCATGCTAAAGCAGTTTTGAGTAATAGCGCACAAAATGGTAATTTGAGCCAAGGGCAGGATTCACTGGGAAAAATACAATATAGATGATCAAAAAGCAGGCTTATAAAGAGCTCAGAGCCTTGAAACCCAGCTCCTTTCAAGGCTGTAAATACTGTACTCATATTTACATCTGTTCCATGATGTGCTGGAATTTTATCTCAGAAATGCTTGTCCTTTCAGAAGACCTGAAGTGTTGGAAAGTACAAATGTGCTAGTAAAGATACTGAAACTTGAAGAAGGAAAAGTCAATCACAATAAATTTGAATGTGTATGAATCTGCTAATTGATAGAATTTATGAGTAAAATTAACTTAAGCCCGGTTCAGGGTTGAGCACTTGTCATTAGCCCCAGCTCACCAGCCTACCAAGCAGGTCAAAAGCAGAAATGCGAGTAGATAAAATAGGTACAGCTTTTAGTGAGGAGGTAATAAAATGTACCCTTAAGGATATCGATCAGAGACGAACTTCTCAGCACTGAAGATGGAGCAACAGCACCCCATCCCCATGGCTGGAGCCGAGCATAGCCTCCAAGATGCCAGAAATAAGATGGGAAAACTGTTTTTACCTCTGTTTGTGTTGTTTGTCTTTGTAAATTGTATAATTAGCATTGAATGTTTGCCATATGTGTGTTCTGTTAGCTGCTCTGAGTCCCCTTCGGGGTGAGAAGGGCAGGGTATAAATACTGTAAATAAATTATATCAACATGTTTCTCCGTATGGAATAAGGCTGCTAAAGAGATGGATTGTAGGAAGATAATACAGCTATTTAAGTGACAAGTATATCTGAATATTTTCTTGAAAATCATCCTAAATAGCTAAGATTCTTTACACAAGTACAATTATCTGGATTTTCCCACCATATTTCTATCAGACATTTCAATGTCAGGGATCTGCCAATGCCCCTGAAGTTAGTGTTGGAGAAGTATAGACTTAACACAGTTGAATTTACTATAGTTTGTTGTTGGGCGACCATGTGATTATTAAAATGTTTTTGCTTTTAAATGTGATTATCCAGAAGTACATGTTTCCTTTACAAACATTTTCTTCTAACAAACAAAGCTAGATCTCTATAGTACCTAAATACATACCTTTAGCTTTTCAGTACAGGTCAAACCTTTAATTTGATCATAAAGAATAGCCCACGGATTTAGTATTTTATAAGATGATTCTCTTTATTAAAGTGCAAATGTCAACCACGGATAATCATTACACACAGTGTGGTACAATAAAATAAAAACTTTTTTTCAACACGAGAGGTGACTAAAATGCTTTCTGCAGTCAGTAAATCTTAAATAATATTCAGCTTAAATAAAAGCAAAAGGGCAAGGAGTTGTACATTTTCCAAATGCTGTTGCAATCAAGAGAATGAACACTTATAGATAATCTAGATATGTTTTACAGTAAACTGAAGTGCGATTTGGAAGCATTTTGAAGAACCTTAAAATTCTCCATATTCAGACATCAGTTACTAATATGGTCTCAAAGACTGTGTTAAGCCATTAAGGTCTTCTTTGGCTGAACTGGAAGAATTCACAGCTTCCATATTCTGAACACAAATAGCCCTTGTAGACATTTCTAACAGTTTCCACTTTGCAAAATTCAGTCTACCTTTACTTTCAAGAAAAAATCGTGACATGCAAAGAGAATACAGTACAATGGACCAGAAGGCAGGATGCTTTCCTGAGCACACATACTAGCTTAGAGAAGTTGGTTTTTAAAGAAGATTTCCCAACATTTCACAGATCATCTCTGGCCAGGACAGAAAAGTTTGTCCTGTATCTAAAACCTGCCTCAATTGTTTGAAGAAGGTGTTTGTTTGAATAAGAGAACAAGCTCCATTTATTATCTAAGAGGGGCTACAATATACTGTCTTTTCAAGCTTCTCAGAACCTACGTAAATAGTGCTAGTGACCTAAATTACAGTACCTCACGGACATAGCTTTATAGCCATGTGATTGCAGTTTTATTTCACTCGGTAAAGAAAAAAAAACACCATCTTACAAATATGCATACATTTTAATATAGAAAAACTGAGTTTACCTCTAGCTATGAGGATAAGTATTAGCTTGTTTTTGGTTTGTGTGAGAAATATGGAAAAATCTTACTTCTTAAAACTTGGGGAAAATACATATCTACCTATAAAAAGTCTCCAAATAGTTGAATGATACAAACACACATTAGATCACTTAAGGCAATTTCAGCAGGACCATTGTAGCTTTATTTTTTATTTTTTTGGAAAAACAAGAGTTGATGTGATTTTTAGATTGCTTGATCTTGTTAGCAGATGCTTATTAAATATGCATATTGCTGTTTAATGCATAGGAAACTTGTTTGAGACTGCATTTTAGAGATTGCTTAGAATTTCCATAGCCAGAATAATTAACATTTTACAATTATGGCATGCCCCATGAACAACTGAAGTTACACATTTTAATGACCCCAGGTCACTTGCAAACAATGGAGTTTAGATCTAGATTTTCCATTTTTCTTGAGACAACCATTTTAAACTGAGTATTTTCTTACCATTTCTGATTTGTTAGCCACTTCAGAAAACATGTGAAAGAAAACTCTAAAACCATTCACTATTTATCTTAT